TGGGGCTGGACGGCGGCGGGGACAGTGGGGGGGCTGGATGGTGGACACAGTGGGGCTGGACGGCGGCGGGGACACTGGGGCTGGACGGCGGCGGGGACAGTGGGGCTGGACGGCGGCGGGGACACTGGGGCTGGACGGCGGCGGGGACACTGGGGCTGGATGGCGGCGGGGACACTGGGGCTGGATGGCAGTGGGGACTACTATTTCTAAATGGAGTTGAAGAGTGTGGTTTCCTGACACTCCTTGTTCTGACAGCTCCCTTCTCCTCTCTCATGATGGACAGCATGTACCTTAGCTGGCAGAAGGCGGGCAAACACTAACTTCTGCTTCCCCCTTGCCGTCCCCATACATCGGCTGGTCCTTGTCGCGGTGGCAGAGTGGCACCGCCCGTGGGCTCTGCCCTCTCAGGAAGTGTTGCCTGGGGGTTGGGTTGCCGCAGGCTCCCCAGTCAGCATCTTTGCTCTGTCTGCTGTGTGGCCGTTCAGACTGACCTCAGCACGTCTCTGCTGCAGGCTGAGTTCGGCCTCTGCGTTCCTGACGGGACTTGGAGAAAGCGATAGGCCAGGCCGACCCGGCGCGGCTGCTGCGTGGTGCCCAGCTGGGGCCTTTTCCTCACTGACACGCCCTGCTCTGCTCCTCAGCGGCGTGTGCACTGTGTCCACCCTCCAGCAGGCAGAGTGCCTGATGCTGGCTCTTTGGTCAGCTCCTGGTTGTGTCACCTGCCTCACCGGCATGTGTGACGAGCCTGTGGAGATGCAGGGCCTTCGACTGGCTTTCCTTACCAAATTCTCGCCTTAGCCCCATCTGTGTGCATCTGTGGCCAGGTTTCCGGACAGCGGCGCCAGCGTCTCCCACCCTCATGCTCCGCAGTGACCCCCCACACTCCACCAGGAGCCCGGCAACCAGTGAGTGTGGCAGAAGTGACACTTGGTTGGAAAAGGCCAAGCTGCCTCCACTTGGGGCCTGGGCGGTGTATTCGGAGTGCTGTTGGGGTGGTCAGGCCACCGAGCCCAGCTTTCTCGTCACCCCACCCTGGCTCTGGCCTGGCGGGGGCCAGCTGCACACCGGCATCATGGTCACTGCTGTGGGTGACAGATGCAGCCCTCTCATCGGCATCACTAGGCCTGTCAGACTCCCTAGGGACATGTCCCAGCCAGCTTGGGTGCCAGAAAGGTACCGTAGACGCAGTGGCTTTCCCTGGGGGACTTTCGCTCACCTCCGGATGCTGCAAGGCCAGGACCAAGGTCTGGCAGGCTTGGTTCTGGCTTGCAGGGGGCCACTTCCCGTGTGTCCTCACATGGTGGAGAGAGGGGGCTCTCGTCCCTTCTTTTAGGGTCACAGCTCTGTCAGATTAGGGCCCATCCTTATGACTCCAGTTAACTCCTGGAGATCCCATCTCCAGGGACAGTCACCCTGGGGATTCAGGCTTCAACATAGGCATTTGGGGGGCACAGTTCAGTCCCTAGCAACATGTGTGCACCCTTTCATGAGGGCAGGCGCCTCCTCTGTGGTGCTGTGGGAGCTGGGCCAGAGGGCTCGGTGTCCAGGATGCCTGGTCTCCCTCAGCGCCCTCCGGTCAGGACACTACTGCCCCCTCTTAGGTCTTCTTCCTGGTGGGGCTGGGACTGTCTGGCTGGGTGGGGTGGGTGTCTGGCACGGAAGCACTCATTTCCCAGCTTTCAGCCAAGTCTTTTTTTTTTTTAAGATTTTTTTTTTTTTATTGGGGAATTGGAGGGATGGGAACAGTGCTGGGGAATTGGGGGAAGGGGAACAGACAAGCTGCTGTCGTTTTGTTCTTCAGTCTAGTTGTGGAGGACGTTGCTTCACTGGCCCAAGTTGGCACCATCATTGCGCTCTTCCCGGGCGAGGCAGATCAGTCGCCGGCTTCTGGACGGCCGCTCACTGCAGCTGCTGGCTGCTCACGCTGGCTGCTGGCTACACACGGTAGCCCATGGCAACCCACTGCCACAGGGGCTGCAGCCCATGCCGTCGCCGGCGACTCAGGGCAGCCCAGCTCCAGGTTGAGCTGCTGTCCAGCATCTCAGCTGTAGAGGGCAGTGTCACTGGCCCACACACGTGGGATCCGAACCAGGGCCCTCTGGCGTCCCAAGCCAGCTCTTAACCATCGCGCCACTCGGCCGACCCAGCCAAGTCTTTTTTGACTCTTCTCATTCCTGCTTCCAGAGGTAGCTGGCACCCCAGGTTTCAAGGTTTGGAGGCTTGGGGTGTACATTGGGTCAGTGGTTATATCATCCCATGTTTAATTAGCCATTTTACTGGGTAGTTTACAATAGATTTCTTAAATTTAAATTAAGAATTTGTTATTACAAAATGTAAATGGTAGAAAACTAGAAAATAGACTGTGTTCCTACTACCCAGAGGTTCCTCCAGCTGCTTCTGTGGATCCTCATGGGTGCTCTGTTTCTGTGATGCATGAGTGTTTCTTTCTTCACACCTTCCCATCATGAGCTGTAGTGCTCAGGTAGAAAGCGTGACGGCACACAGACACTGGGCTAGAACGTCTGCAGCCCCCGCAGCCCCTCCAACCACATGGCGCGCACTCATCCCAGTGTCTGCTGCCGGTGACCGATGGCACCTCGGCTCCTTGCGGCCTTTAGCTGGTCCCGCTCTGCTCTGGGGGGCTGGGCCCTGGGGACTCAGGAGCACTTGGTCTGGCCAGACACAACGGCCTGGACACCTGGGGAGCCTCCCGGATCTGGGCTTCTCCTGAGGCCACCTCTGGCTTTGCACACCTTTTGTCCAATGAGAAGCTGGAGACGGAACAGTGTGAGCCCTGTGCTCCTGTTAGTTCTGCACCCACGGGGTGGCTGTGTCCCTCTCGTCACCCATCAGCACCACTGGGCACCCTCTGCTTTCTGCCCGACATCCTGAGGAAGCCAGGAAGCCACTGACCCTTCAGGAGTCCCCCCTACCCCCATTTCGATGACCGCAGCTTATGCTTTTGGCAGCGGTTCTTCCACTGCGTGGCACAGAGTTGGTTTCCAGCCCACCTCAGCTGCTCCTGCCAGCTGGCCCACTGACTGGCTCTGCCCCCTCCCAGGACGCAGCAGCTGAGGCAGGCTTATCTCCAAGGACCTGAACCACTGTCTTCTTTTTCTGAGGGACGTTTTACGTACCATCCTACTGGTGGGAAGTTGAGATTTACTCCTGCTACGTGTTCCAGAAAAGATGGGGGAGTAGAAGTTGATTACGCTGATATCCTTTCTGGCTGGACATTTGGGAAAAACTTGAGAACGTTCCTTGTCTATGAAAGCAGGAGTGCTGCCCCCTGCCCACTGCTGTGCCATGGCAACGGGCACGCCTGGCCTGGCCGAGGCTGGCAAGAAAGTAGCATTTTACAGAAGCCAGCAGTTCCCACAATGTCCGCGCGCTCCTGGTTGTGTGAGGCAGGCCGGGGGGGCCTCTCCCCTCCTGGACGCCCTCGGTCCTGGTGGGAGCCCGGCGGCCATGTGTCCCCTGCTGTGTGCCTGCAGCCTGTGACAGGAACCATGGGTCTTGCTCAGTGCTAGGCTGTCTTGGGTTGCAGCCCGTGTCTCCACTCCTGACTCACTTCCTCTGAGGGCTTGTCCAGTTCTTGTGTGGAAGGAGCACGTGCTCCCGCCCTGCTGCTGTCTCTGCGTCCAGGGCTCTGGCCTAACAGGACAGCTCCCCTTCCTGAGTCCTGCACCCTGGCCAGTGCGACTCTGTCCCAGGGCTGTGCTTCGTGCAGGAGGCACTGGCAGCTCTGAAAGCCCCAAGTTTGCATTTCTGGCAGCGCCCATTTCTGGTCTGGTCAGAGGCGATGTGGAGAGAAGTGACGTGCCAGGATGGGGTTCCTCCCCAGCCCCCACGGGGTGTGTGCTGCTGTCAGGGCAGCTCTGAGTTGGGCTAGTACAAGCCTGCGGGGAACAGGTGGGGTCCGGTGTGCAGGCAGCTGGTTGGGACAGATGCTTGTGAAGGAGAAAAGGAGGGTATGGGCTGGGGTGCAGGTGTGGCCCTGGGGGGCAGGAGGGGCGGTGGGAAGAGGCCCAGACCCAGCACCACAGAGGTCCCTCCTTACAGGGGCCCCCACAGCCTGCCTCCTGACCCTCCGTGAGTGGCATTTGCTGCTCCTTTTCTGGCCACTCTGACCCGCCCCCCCAGAGGCACCCGCAGACCCCGGGCATCTGTTACCCGGGCGCCCCACTTCCAGGGTGGCCTCTCCTGGGGTCTCGCGCTCCCTGCTGCTGTGTAGGTGCTGGCTTGTCCGCCCTCACCACCGTCCCCTTCCCAGGGTCCCCTGTACAACCCACGCTTCGCCATGACCCCACGCCTGGGCCCAGCCCTGGACTTGCTGAGCTGCAGGCCCACTGTGACAGATGCCTGCCTAGTGGAATCCAGTGACGGCGTCTCCACGGAACAGACTGGCTGGCCACCCAGATGAAGTACGGTCTGCACAGCAGGACCCTCAGACCTCTGTGACTTGTGTACAGGAAGTTCAGAGGCTGTAAACCAGCTTGGTGGTGCTGGCAGTTAGGAGGGTGGCTGCCCTTGGGGGCAGTGACTGAAGGGACCTCAGGGGACGCCCTGTGGCCTTCCCGTGCTGCCCCTGGGGTCTGAGCCTTCTTTGGGCGGGTTGTACCTCAAAGTTTCCCGGTCAGACGGCAGCTGGGCATCCCATAATCACCCCAAGTTCGTCGTGCCCCCAGCCCAGAGCCCACAGTGCCCAGGTCCCCTTGGCCCTGGGTCCTCTGTGCTGCTGAGGGTCCCAGTCGGCAGCCTCTCGCCTGCTTTCTCATCCGTCTCCTGCCCCTGCAGTGCCCCCTCCACTCCATGGCCCAGAGGCCTTTCCAACACACAGCCTAACAAGCTCCTCCTGCTCCTGCTCCAACGTGGGGCCTTCCCATCCCTTCAGCCCCTCCCCCCCCCCACTGCCCCGGCTCGCACTCCCCACGCTCCTGGGTCCCCGCGTGTCCTCTGTGCGGGCTCCTGGCTCAGCATTTCCCTGCTCAGTGTCCCCCAGGACAGGAGGTAGCCTGAGTCCCTGCTCCTCCCAGTTGGGACTGTCTTGGCACCCGGCTCTGCCCCCTGGGGGCTCAGGTGTTCACTGAGGTGGCGGGGCTGGATGCCATGAGCCATTCCTGATGGTCATGAGGTGAGCTCACCTGGGGGCCCCCACCCAGGCCCCACCTGGCCTGGCCACCGCGGTCCCCAGGTTCCAGAAGCCAGACCGCCCCACCCATGTCCGCACGTGTGTGTGGTTATGTTCTCTGAGGAGCTCGCTCTGTGGGCACATCACCCCGCACAGCGTCACGCGCCTGTCCCCACCCATGTGTGACGTCTCCCACAGACTGCTGGTGAAGGTGGCCCTGGCGGCAGCCTTACCTGCGTGTCCTGTGGGTCTTTTAAGACAAACTTATCTATTTTATTTCTGGGTTTTGTATCATACAAGAAAACCTTTCACTACTTTGAAACAGTTCTGGAAATTGTGCTTTTTTTCCTTTTAGCACCTTTATGTTCTCGCCTTTCTTATTTACATTTGATCTAATTTATTTTGGTGTAAGATGAGGTTAGGCCATGGGTAACTATTTTTTTCTTCTTTCTAAAATTTTATTTTTTGGGGGTAGTTTTTGTAACCCTATGAAATCATTATAATAGAAATAAAATGCTGTGTATTTTTTCTTTTTAAAGATTTTATTGGGGAATTGAGGAAGGGAACAGTGTTGGGGAATCGGGGAAGGGGAATATTGTGTTTTTCCAGGACCCATCAGCTCCAAATCAAGGTGTCCTTCAATCTTAGTTGTGGAGGACGCAAGCTCAGCTCCAAGTCCAGTCGCTGCTTTCAATCTATTGGGTTGTCGGAAAAGTCATGACGTACTTTTTCTATTTTTTCATTGCAAAAATGCATCATGACTTTTCTGACAATCCAATAGTTGCTAGAGGGGTGGGCAGGGGGGGCGGGCACAACTCACCATCCCATGTGGGAGTCGAACCAGCAACCTTGTTGTTAAGAGCACATGCTCTCACCAGCTGAGCCATCTGGCTGCCCATAAAATGCTTTATTAGGGAAGGAAATGGAGGTAAGAATTCCCGTGGAGCCGGTCGCCTCCACAGTGCGTCCTGCAGGTTTCACGTGCCTGGTGCTGCCATGGGCACTGACGCCACCGTGAACAACACAGGCCATTTGGAGAAACACCTGCTGGGTGCAGTGACTGTCCGTGCCAGGTCCCCTGACCTGCACAGCCCCTGGGCTTCTGGATTGAGTTAGGAAGTGCGACCGAAATGGCAGCCGACTGCGCGGACACTGCCTGTCCTGGGCATGTTGATGTTTGTCTCCCCTTCTCGTCCAGGGGCGACCTGACTGAAGATAACATGGACACGGAGAACGCGGCTGCAGCTGCAGCAGCTGCGTTCACAGCGTCCTCGCAGCTCAAGGAGGCCGTGTTAGGTAGGGAGCCCGCAGGCAGCTCGGGGGGGGGCTTCCCTAGGGCACCCTCCAGTCCCAGTGGGGGGGATCATGTCTGTGGAGGCCCCAGTTCGGCAGCCTTGCTTATTACAACTCTCAGTGGCTGGCAGTGAAAATTCTTTAAACGACTAGCATTAAAGGCCTCTGAACTTCAAAACATTTCAGATAAGTTTCTCCAGGATTATTCCAAGGAAAGTTTAATCTCGTGTTCTTAAGTGGCTCGTTAGCTGAACCCTAGTTTAATGTAATTGTATTAATGTTACTATAGTTAAATTGATTGTGAATCTACCTGAAACTCTAACTTGGGACTCGTGGGATGCACCCCGTCTACCTTGGTCGCGTCTCAGCCCTTCCTGCACTGTTAATTTCTGGTTTCTGGGTGGGAAGTGCTGTGGGGAGGTTGTCACTGATTCTGTTTTACCCCTTCCCTGTCACTGCACCTGATGAGAAGTGAAGATGGCCGAAGAGGAGGAGAACCTGGAGGCTGAAATTGTGTACCCCATCACCTGCGGGGAGAGCAGAGCCAACCTGATCTGGAGAAAGTTTGTGTGCCCTGGCATCAACGTGAAGTGTGTTCAGGTGGGTTCTGTGTGCCAGGTGGTGGGGCGGCCCTTACGGCACGACCACTGTGAGGCCGGCAAAGCGAGCTCCCTGCTCCAAGGGCAGGGCCTGTGAGCAGAGCCAGAGGTGGGAATCTGTGTGCTGGGGGGGCGGGGGGTGTGCCCACAGGGGCAGACAGGACTGTCGCTGTTACCAGAGCGGAGCCGGGGGCGGCAGGGAAAGCAGCCGGCTCAGCAGCCGGCTCACACCCAGGCCACTATGACTGCTGAGCTGGGAGCTGGCTTTACCTGGCAGGGCAGATGAGACCGGTGCTTTGCGAGGACCTATTTAGTCGAGTAAAGTGAATGGCAACATGGCAGCTCAGGTACCCAGCCAGACATACCTGGTGGTGAAAGCAGCCCCAAATACCAGGTAAGGTGTTTTCCTAAAACATCTTATGGTTACCTCCTGAAGCTGGCGAAACAGGAAGAAATACTCAGGCCCAGGGCCCAAGTAAAGGTGGGATTTAGAGGGATCAGGCACCAACTCTGTCTTCTGCCTACACAGCCTTTGCCTGACACTGGTTTTCTCAGCGCTGCGGGGTTGGGGATGAGGAGATGAAGCCCAGGGCATCCCGAGGTGTGTCGTTGGGGGCAGGGATTGTCCCCTGTGATGCTCCTTCCGAAGGCCTCTGCCCTGTTAGGGCGAGTCACCAGTCACACCCCCCAGCTCCACTCCCCCCGGGATGAGGAGACCTGCTTGCAGCTGAGAGCCCCTGAAGGGCTTCTCTGTGGCCTGAACCTGAACCTGAACCTGAAGGTTAAGCTAAGAGTTTAGTTGTAAGTGGTTCCGGCTGGCAGTTTCCGTGAGAATCTAACAGAAGCAAACAAAAGATGCTTTTTGGAGGAATTCATCTGTAGCTCAGGTTTCAAGTAGTTTCCACAATGTTCCAAGAAAAGGTACAGCTTACAGTAAAACAGAAACACTGAGCAGCTGAGTGAACACACAGAAACCAGACAGCAGGTCAGACTCACAGACACGTCAGGCTTGGGATTTTGAGATACAGAATGTAAAAGAATTGTGTTTATTTCAAGAGATAGAAAAGAGAACCATAAGCAGATGAGGAAAAACAAACTAGAACTGAAAAATATGATTAAGATTGAACAGTTAGTAGATAGGTTTTACCGCACGTAGGCTGTGAAGTGGGAGAAAGAATTAGTGAACTGGAAGACGGAGGTAAAGAAGTTATCCAGAAGACAATCCACAGAACTAAAAAGAGGGACACAGGCACGAGAAAGCCTAATGCTCCTGAGTCCTGGAGGAGAGACGAGAGTGGGTCTGAGGGCTTTCACCATGGAAGATAGTCCGTCGTTCAAGAGACCTCACAAGTCCAGACTGAATGAATTAGAAAACCAACTACATTTCAGGAAGCCCTGGGGCTCCACTGCTCCATCTGGGACAACTGAACATCAAAATAACTAATGATAGTCTGGATTCTAACTCAAGGGAAATAAGCACCTACAAATCCATCTTTATTGCAGTGTAGTTGATGTCACTTATGTCAAATACGTGTGAGCAGTGAAACTCTTCTATTGGAATGCTGGTCGACAGAGGTGGGCGAGAGGGAGCCAGAGACTGGGAGTGAGCACGAGGCGGCTGAGGGTGCCCGCTCGTCTCAGCGCGCCATCGGATGGCAGTAACCACGGGAAACAGGAGCTGGCGCGGAAGCTGGCGCACGGTTCTTGACCAAGTGTGATGTTTGGGCGTCAGCCTCAGGACAGACCCGACCCCATTGTGGTCTCCTGGCTGAATGGGTAGGAATTCTGACCGTACTCGTGAGAGAGCACCAGACAGACACCAACTGAGCCACCGTCCAGGATACCATTGACCTGCGTGCTGCAAAAACGCCAAGGTGAGGATGCCGGGTGTCTGAGGAGCTCAGGGACGGAGGAGGACGGCCTGTGCAGCAGGGTCCAGGCTGGGTCCTGCGTCAGAGAGGAAGGCCACCGCCGGCTGTCACTGGGACACTAAAGTCTGAGGGTTGTCCATGGGCCAGACCGTGTGCTGATGGCGGTACGCAGTTACACAAGAGAACCTTGTCCTGAGTCCCGACAAGAGGCACTTGAGTCCTCTTGGCGTCAGCGACAGGCTCGTGGAGATGTGAGTCTAGGACGCTGCGTAACCAGCCAGTGTTTCCGAGGCTAATTGACACAAACGAGGATATAGCTTCCTACAGCATATTTCTGGTCACGAAACATCACCGAACTTCTAAATGAAGACCCCAAACACTTCTAATGTTAAATGTGGAAATCCATGTGAGCTGTACACACATTTAAGGAAGATGAATAAAAACAAGTCAGATCCTTATTTTCTAACCTGAGTTTTCTAGTCCAGGGTCGTAGAGGCCAGAGCCTCTCCCGGCAGGCAGCTCAGGGTGCAGGCGGGACCCCCCTGGACAGGACCTTCCCTGGCAGGGCCACCCACACCCACATTCGCTCCGACAGAGACAAGGCAGACACACCATTCGCCTCACTGCGTACCCGGTTGGGGGAGGAAACCCACACAGACACTCCATAGTCAGTGGCCCCGGCAGAAATTGATTTTTTTTTTCCATCAAATGATGTTATTTAAGGGTCTGCTTTGCTGAGGGCAAGGGGCCAATGCCTACACTTGACCGGAACTTCGCCCTGAACTGTTCAGGAGCAATTGTGTGCAGGCGCCTGTATGGGGAGCGTGGCTGTGAGAGGCTGGGTGCAGGCAGTCATGCACTGGTGCTATTCTTGCTCTTGACCTGTGGGTTTGAAACGATCGCCAAATGAAAAGAAACAAAACAAGAGTGTACCATAGGCAGTGTTGTCGTGGAACAGAGAGGGGGATAAGCCCCTAAAAATAATGGGGAGCAGACAGGTGCTCAGGCGTGAGGACCCCTGGCAGCGAGTTCCTGCGGACGGCTTGAGTGACTGCACAGCGACACCAGCTCCCCAAATGGGGGGTGATATTTTCAGACACCACTGCATTCGCCACCAGCAGGTCATTGCTACAAGAGTGAGGAGCATTCGGGCAGAGAGGAAGTGTGAAGAGTAAGGGAAGTGGGACTGTCGGGGGGCAGGCACAGTGTGACCGACTACAGCATTGACAGCATGTCTTAGGGACATTCCGAAGGGTCAGACGCGTGGCAGTGGGGTTGGGAGGGGTTGAGTGGAACCGCGCAGCTCTGGATGCTGGACGCCTAGGTGGCCACAGCGTCCACCCTGAGCATAGTGCAGCTTGCCGACTGGCAGAGAAAAATCGGGAACGTGAAGCATGACCGTCAGCCAATGAAGGCGACAGCTCCTGGGGACGGTGGTTGAGGGGGAGACTGAGCAGCAGGTGTGGCCAGGGCAGGTCAGATGCAATGGCTCGCGACAGCCGTCCGTCTGAGGGGCACAGGCTGGCCTGTATGGACTTCCTGCTGGTAGCTGGAGGCCAGGCCATGACAGTCTTCCCCGCCCAGCTGAGTGGGGGATCCGTCGGCTTCCTGGACTCAGTGAGACAAAGGGCACATGCTCAGGAAATTAGGAAAATTGCTTGCATCCACAGGAGTTCCCTGGCTGGTGGCATTTGCTACAGCTGACCCACGTCTGGTGGCGATACAGAGCTGAGGAGCTCTGCTCGGTGGCTGGGGAGTCTGGGCCAGACTGGGCCGGGCCCCCCAGGAGGCCACCAACGGGGGGCGGGGGGCTGGGGGGGGAGCCCTGGAGGCATCCGGTGCCCTGGCTCCTGTGGGCCGCAGCTGGAGCCTGCCTTTCTGCCTCTGCAAGACCTGCTGACTCATCCATCTAGCCTGCCTGTTTTCTAAGTTTTGTTTTTATTTTGGTTCCAATAATTGCTCATTTAACAAGATTGAATAGGATGTTTTACATCCTCAGGCCGTCTGAGCCCCGGCAGTGGGTGAGACTAGTAGGCCCAGACCTCTGAGCAGGGAGGACTGTTCTAGACTGTGAAGTGGACGTGTGTGCCCATCAGGACAAGAAGAGTGGGACGTGGCTTCCCTACACCGCGGGGCCGTGTTGGGTGGGACGGGGCAAGCGGAGGGGACCTTCACAGCTCTCCCTGCTACACTGGACCTTGTTTGATTTTGTATAAGTCATTTATGGAACAAGTTATGCATAAGACCTGAGTTCTGTCTGGAGGGAGAGCGCCACACCTGTCCGAGCGGTGCAGCCCCCTCTCTGTCTCCCTGGCCCCAGGCTCAGGGGGTGTTCTTGGAGGATCAGCTGCCAGGTGCTCAGTTGCCCACCCAGCCCCTGCCTGTGCAGGAGGCCACACCGTTTGACCTAAACTGCTCTCCCCATGACCTCAGCCTGCGGCGCTGTGCCAGGTACCCTGCCCTGTCTTGCGCCCGGGCCCGGCCCGGATGCAGCTTGGGCAGGAGGCCCCGTCTGACCCCTGTACTTCCCTCCGCAGTATGACCAGCATGTCATCAGCCCGAAGGAGTTCGTGCACCTGGCGGGCAAGTCCACCCTGAAGGACTGGAAGAGAGCCATCCGTATGAATGGCATCATGCTCAGGTGGGCGCTGGGCGAGGTGGGCACTGGGCGAGGTGGGCCTGTGGCCTGGGGGCAGCAGCAGTTGGTGCTTGTCCCTTAGTCTGTGGGTCTCACAGATGAGGAGAGCTGCCTGTCCTGGGCTGCACTGCCCACACCCTGCGCAGGTGACACTGCCAGGCTCGCAGGAGCTTGGCTGTCTCACAGGGACTCCAGTCCTTACCTGGAGGCCTTGTGCCTGTCTCACAGGAAGGTGTTGGCCGGTGCGACAGTGTCTGCACAGGCCACACCCCTCACGCGGCCTTCCCGCCATGCTTTATTTGTATCGCTTCTTACTAACCTGTGCGTGCAGAGCCCCCAAGCCCCGGCGTGCGGGTCAAGAGTCCACTTCTTGTTCATCTGCGGTGCAGTAGTCTGGCCAGTTGTCCGGACACTGCCCTTTCTGGTACAGCTGGTCTTCTGGCAAGGGCCCTGTCTCCTTGGCCTCTCATGCCACTGAGTGTCCGTGGGTCTCGGCCTGGCCCCGGCACATGCTGTGCCAGGCCTTGCGGGTGCCGTGCTCTGGGGAAGGAGCCGCCCACCTTCCCCTTTGACACCAGCTGGGCCATGTGGGAGCTGCATGGCTCTCAGCTGCTTCACTTAGACATCAGATCCAGCTCCGGGAAGGCTCCAGGGGCACCCCGGGAGTGTGGCCTGTCACAGCAGCTGTGACACCTGCAAAGCAGGAAGCATGATGCTCTTTCCAGGAACCCTGAGCAGACCGGGAATGCCAATGTGGCTTTCACGTTTCAGCGTTTCCTGCTTTGCGGGTGGCCACTCGCCCCTCCTGGCTTGGAAGGGGCAGCCCTGTCGGTCCGTTCCCGTCCTGCTTGTGCTGTCCCGTGGCCGCGCGCACGGCTGTCCAGAGCCGTGTTTGATGGAGTCTGTGCCGTAGCTGGATCACATCGCTTGGCTGCGGAAGGGGCTGCTTTCTTTCACACCTTTTGCCCTGGAGACGTGGCTCCTGCTGTCTCGGCACATGCTGCTGCCGCGGGAGCGCCTTGGGCTGTCCCTGGGGACCCTGACCACGGCCCTGACCCTGTCCCTCTCCTCGTGAACTACCATCTGGGCCTGACAGGCAGCCGCCCAGGGCCCGGGACCCATGGTGCTGCCCACGTTCCCTCCAGAGCAGGTGTGGGTCCCTCCCCACAGCACTCACGGCTTGTCTGAGCCCGCCCATCGGGCTGGCCCTGATTTCCTAGATACGGCTGGGTGGCATGGCCGTGGGAGGCAATGAGCCCTTTTGCTGGGAGGGCAGGGAGCCGAGCGAGGTGGGGGGCCCTGTGGAGCCTTCAGACTCCTTTCATGGCCGAGTTTGCAGCAGCACAGGGCTTCTCCTGGTGGGTGTTCCTCCTGCTCCCAGTCTGTGCCACCTTCAGTCCCCGTAGGTCTGCCCTCTGAGGCCTTGTTGCTCCCTCAGGACACTGGCCACTGTGGTCTTGCTTCCATGGTCAGACCGTGTGCCGCTGCAGCGAGTCCCTACACGGCTGGCAGAGCTTAGCCCTGGGCAGCCGAGAGGCCTGTCGGGGGCTCCCAGGTGTGCAGCCTTTGTCACCCCTCCTGGGACCTGCCCCCAGGTCGGGCCTTCCCTTCCTCTGGGGACCTGAGGACATGCTAGTGGGGGCTGGACGGGTGCTGTGGGGTGCAGTCGCGGCTGTGGCTCCGGGCACACATGACGCTCTGGTCTCCTGTGCACAGGAAGATCATGGACTCCGGGGAGCTGGACTTCTACCAGCACGACAAGGTGTGCTCTAACACCTGCCGCAGCACTAAAATCGACCTCTCGGGAGCCCGCGTGTCCCTCAGCAGCCCCACGGCGGCCGAATACCTCCCGCTCACGCCCGCCACGGCCGACGGTACGTGCTGTGCCGGCCCATGTACGCGCTCACTGTGCGCCTGGCCGCGGAGGACACAGGAGGTGGATGTGCCCCTGGCTTGCACCAGTGGCCGCCCCTCCCACTCTGCGGAAGTCGGGCTGAACTGCTGTTTTCATCGACGGAAGAGCCACGCTTTTTTTTTTGAAGCCCCTTCTATTATAAAATCTCATAGCTCGGATGTAGAGGGCCATGTGAGGAATACGGAAGCCACAGTCCAGTGCCCACCACCAGCTTCGACCGGTGGGGCGCTCCCCGTGTGCCCACGCTGTGCCGCCGGCAGTGCCTGCACCTCCTGTATCACGTGGCCCTCGGCCTATGTTGCTGCCACTTGGGTCTGCCTGTCATGTTGGGACGTTCTTCTGTGTTGATGTCTGGTGCTAACTCGCAGTAGAACGGACTACCCCCAGTCATTGCAGCTTTTTGAGTAGAGAAATTCCTAGAACTGAAGTTAGAATGAAATCAGGTCCTAAGTTCCCCATTCATGTCACCTGCTGATTTGGTACTGTTATGTTTCTGCTAATGTCACTTGCATTGTCCCTATGCTGACACTGCACAGGGTCAGTCTGGGTGTGCTGCCGTGTGGCCAGGGACGGTCCTCGCTGACCAGATGGTGGCCAGTTGCAGAACCTTGACCTGTACTAGGAGGAAGGGAGGGGGCCTGGGGACAGCGGTTGGGTCCCATTGGTGCCCGGTGTGCCCCTGTGCCCTGCCCGAGCGGTGGGTGGGCTGTGTGTTGACAGCTGATCTGTGCTGGAGTCTTTCCCAGAAGCTCCAGGAACATGCGGGGCTGGCAGTCGGCAGGGCGGAGTGTGTCGGCTCCCCTTGCCCAGTGGTGTGGGCACTGGTCCCTTCAGCTTCTTTCTGGACCAGAGTCCCAGGCTGCGCCCTGGCCTGGCTCCTTGGACAGTCCCGGCAGTGTGGGGAGGGGCTGGGTCACCACAAAGCACCGCCCCCCGGACACAACCAAACTCGCATCCCACTCCTGTTGGGCGGGCGGCTTCCATGAGAATAGGGCCACCTCAGGGTCCTGGGTCCAGAACCTGAGCCACACAATAAGGGTCAGCTGGGGAAGCTGGTCCCCGAGGAAGGACCAGGCTCTGAGTGCCCTAGTCAGTGCCCAGCATGTCCAGCAAAGGCCACAGCGGCTTTAGCTGCTTGGACTCTGTCTCTCCTTCATGGTTTGCCCGGGTCTGCCTGTCGCTTTACTTCAAGTGGCGTATGTGGTGGTTTCTTCAGCCAGAGTCCCTCTGTGTAGCTAGTCAGAGGTTTTGTGTTGGCCCAGACTGAAGGACATCGTGCCCCCGGCTATTCTAAGCACATAACACCCCCGGCACGAGCTCTCTGTCGGGTGTGGACAGGGTGACATACGTGTAAGGTTAAAACGCTTCTGCAGACGTTAGCCCATCACCAGCGTGTTGTGAAGCCAGGTCTCTCTCAGAAAGAGCTGCAAACGGCCAGATGACACTTCTCACGATTGTGTGCTGTGGGCCCTGGAGACCCAGCGACATCTTATGCGTCTCCTAAAGTCCCAGGCCTTCGAATTAGAAAACTGGAACTAGGGAGATACTAAGATGTATGGTGGTGTCGATGAAGCACATGAGGGGCTGACCCAGGCGAGCAGCAGTGGCCCAGCCAGGCAGAAGGGTGGCCCTGGCACCCACGTCCAGCGCACGCAGGGTGCTGTGTCCCAAGGGGTTGGAACTAGGTGGTGGGCTCAAGGAGGGTTACATTAGCTCGTTGTCCCTTGTGTGTGAGATGAGGTGCCTACGAGGGGACAGTTGAAAGAGTTTAGGAGGCGAGGAAGTGAATCGAGGCTGCATAGCACGTGCTCATGAAGTCGGAGCCGGGACAGACCCGGAGCTGGTGTTGGGGCAAGGGGCTGGGTGGTGCCTGTGGGCGAGGCTCACTCACTATTGTCCTGGCTGCAGTGAACGGCTCTCCCGCTACCATCACCATAGAGACCTGCGAGGACCCCGGGGACTGGAGCACGGCCATTGGAGGTGCGGGGCCTTTCCTGTGGGCTCCTCCTGGGTGGAGGCCTGGGGCACGGGCCCCTGGGAGAGGCAGGTGGGCTGGTGGGGTCCTTGCGGAGGGAGGGGCAGCACTGGGAGGCTGCGTCCTCCTGCCGGCCGACCCGAGGGTCTGCCTGGGCCCAGCTCAGTTGGTGTGTGTGGTGGGGGCGGCAGGGGTGTCCTCCCTGTGGCTAGAAGTCCGCGGGTTGGGGTCCAGGCGGGACTTCCACTCTGTGAGCCTCTCCTTCCATCCCAGACGACACGTTCGCCTTCTGGCGAGGGCTCAAGGACGCCGGCCTACTGGACGAGGTCATCCAGGAGTTCCACCAGGAGCTGATGGAGACCATGAAGGGCCTGCAGCAGCGAGTCCAGGACCCTCCCCTGCAGCTCCGAGGTGAGGGCCCATGTCTGCCCCTGGCGCTGGGCACTGCCCTCGTGGCCGCCCCGCAGCTTGTGCAGGGTGGATGGCCAGCTCCGCCCCTCCAGGCCCTCTGTGCCACTCGAGCTGGTGGCAGAAGGGGCAGAGCCGTGCCAGTGGGCTGTGCCGCGCTCACCGGGCCGCGTTGCCCGTGTCACCTACAGACGCCGTCCTGCTCAACAACATCGTGCAGAACTTTGGCATGCTGGACCTGGTGAAGAAGGTGCTGGCCGGCCACAAGTGCCAGATGGACCGCTCGAGGGAGCAGTACGCCCGCGACCTGGCAGGTGCGTGCGGCCCACGTGTCCAGTCCCGGCCACACAGGACAGCTGCTCTGGGAGGGCGCCTGGCACTGTCGGCAGGCAGTGATGCTCTGACCGCCACTGTGGGAGGACAGTCGCCTGTCCGGAGTGTCTGGTGCCCTTCATAGTGACTGCAGGAGAAAGCAGCGGAGCCAGGAAAGGCCGCCGTGACCTCGAGCCCACCTGTGTGCCGGCCGGCGTGCCTGCCGTCCCTGGCAGGAGTGCGCGTGTGCACGTGGCGCAGGCTGCTCACTGTGCCCTGTGACCAGCTTCCTCTTAGGGGTCCCGAGAGCGACCGTCCGTGCCCATGGAGGCTGAGGAATGTGGGAGGCAGAGGGGCCTGAAGACTCGTGTCCCTCCCTGGGTGGCAGGCCCTGCTCGGGGCCGGCCGTGTGGCCTGACGCCCTGTCTTTGTCCCCAAACAGCCCTGGAACAACAGTGTGATGAGCACCGCCGACGGGCCAAGGAGCTCAAGCACAAGTCGCAGCACCTCAGCAACGTGCTCATGACACTGACACCCATGCCCCTGCCGCCCCCCATGAAACGACCGCGGCTCGCCAGGGCCACGTCCGGCCCAGCCGCCATCGCCCTCAGCCCGGGGCTGCCGGTCCCCCAGCTGACCAGCGTGCCGCTTGGCAAAGTGGTGTCCGCCCTGCCCACCCCCATGCTGGGCAAGGGCTCCCCGCAGGCTGCTCCCGCCAGCTCCCCGGCCTCACCCCTGCTCGGGGGCTACACGGTGTTGGCTTCGTCGGGCGCCAGCTTCCCCAGCACGGTGGAGATCCACCCGGACGCTTCCAGCCTCACGGTCCTGAGCACGGCCGCCATGCAGGACGGCAGCACTGTGGTCAAGGTGGTCAGCCCCCTGCAGCTGCTCACGCTGCCCGGCCTGGGCCCCACCCTCCAGAACGTGGCCCAGGTGTCCCCCGGAGGCAGCACCATTGTGACAGTGCCCACAGGGGCCATGGAGAGCACTGTGGCCGCCCCAGGACCCGAGGAGCATTCAGCCACCATTGAGGTGGCCGCCATGGCAGAGGGCCATGTGCACAAGTAGCCGCTGGCGGAGGGAGAGGCTCCTCGCGGGCTCAGGACCGGCCGCCTCTCAGGCCGCGGCCCGTGGGAGCACGGTGCCGGCGCCCGGCGGTCCCGTGGGGCTGCTGAACCAAAGAGAGGAAACGCCAAACAGACCGAGAGGAGAGGGATCGAAGGTGACAGCAACCTGTAATGTCGGCTTCGAGTTCTGAGCCGCCTCCCTTTTTCCTTGGGAAATATATTTTTCCACCTGTTGCTTACTGACGCTGTTTGCACGCTGGGCCCAGTCAGGAGCCAGGCGGGGTAGGACGCGGAGGCCTGTGCAGCTGAGGGCACGTCACTAGCACATGTCTTGGGGACTGTCCCCAAGTGTGGAAAGCCATGGATCCTATGGATTTGGTTTCTTCCCGCAGTTTTCTGTAGGGTTAGGGCGGCTGGCACTCTGCTCTCTGTCCCCAAAACAGGTTAGCACTTGGGGCTTGGGGTGCAGACCTGGGGGCATCGGCCTGAGCAGAGGGGCCGAGGGGCCCCCAGTAGCACGCACTCCCCACCGCCCCCGCCCAGCGGTGCTCGGCGCTCAGGGGCCATTGCACACGCGCCGCGGGGCTTCCAGTCAGTGGTTTAGTAGGTTTCTAGGAAGAGTCAGACTTCTAGCGTTTTCAACCCAAACAATGCTGAGTGCCTAGGCTTCCGGAATCTGCTCTGGCCTCCAGAGTGTTTTGTACAAACGCCTCCCTGGGGAGCCCGATGATGGGTGTGGCCCTGGGCTTCTGTTCCGGGGGTGGAGGTGCTCATTATCCCCCCATTCCCAGCCTGCTTGTGGGGCCGCCATGCCGGCCTCAGCCCCTGGGGCCCCCTGGAGGGGGAGCTGCATCCAGTGCTCCAGGCCCAGCGCCAGGCAAGGTGGGGACGGACACTCGCTGCAGGGCTGTCCGCGGGCCATCCATAGTGGGACTCACGAGGAAGACCAGGAGGGGATTCCCTGCAGGCCACCCCGCCAGCCCTGGGGCCTGCTGAAGACCCTTCTCTGGGGTCCCCACCACGGGGGAGGGCCCCTCTCTCTTTGAAGGGAACTGGGCTCTGTCTGTCCTTCCACCCGCCAACTGCCCGGAGCCCACCTCAGCGGGCCTCGCCCCCACGTCAAGCTACTGAGGTTGTCGTCTGTTTTCTTTCTGTCACATTTACGTTGGATGTTGTCACAGGCTTACTGGGTTCAGTGTGCTGTTTACTTTCTTGTTGGTGTCCGCACTTCTTGTTTAAGCGCATCTTGACCGAGTTGCAAGTCCTGTTAGGCATGGCCGCCCAGCCTGTCCCCAGGCCACACCAGCTTGGAGGACACGAGGCTGTGTCTTGCCCTTGGGGCCCTTATCACAGTCAGCATGCCCGCTCCCCGTCCAGCTCCTGTGCTGCCCGCAGTACAGGGGAGTGTCGTTTCAGAGCCATACAGACAAGCCGTGAGTAGCCCCAGAGCTGCCCCCAGCCCCCGCACTGCCTCCGCACATTAGGACGCGGGCTGGGAGGAGGCTCTGGGACATCTGTGCTGGCAGGGCCCCAGGCCCCGGGCCAGGGAGGGTCTGCCATCCTCACAGGCACCTCGCCACGCCGGCCGCTCCTCCCCTGCAGCCCCTGCAGCTGGGGTTCCTGGGAGGGCAGGTACGAGGTGATTTTTCTCATTGGTGCTCAGAGGCAGCGTGGGGCGGGCATCTGAGTCCTACTTTGTATGTTGTTTTGCAAGTACCTGCCTGGTGCTTGGATTTAAAATAAAACTTTTTCATAATTCACATCCGTCTCATGGTGAAGACTGCCTGCTCAGGAGCTCACACCACACCTGCTCTGGGCGAGTGTGGCCTGGGGGCCGCGGCCCTTCCGCTGGCCCATGATGCCAGGCGCCCCGCTTGTGTGTTCACGCACTTCCAAAGCGGGCAGACGTAACTGGTAATGTGGCAGCACTGAGTGGGCCCCTGCCCAAGTCTCTGGTCCCTGGTTCCTGCGTGCAAGGGGTTCCTGACCCACATGTGGCCGGCCCGACCACCCCTCCCACAGGGCGGACACGGAGCCACTAGTCGGGAGGGTGGCAGAGCCGCATGTGGGCCAGCTCCCTGCACATCTGGCCGGACGCCTTCCCTCTCTTGTGTTTCCTGCCCCCAGTTGGAGCCCCGCTGGTGCCGAGCCAGGGTCTTGCTGCCTCCAGAGTCACCACCCTCCTCAGGCAGGCGGCTGGGGGCCTGTGGGGAAGAGGCAGGTGCATGCGGGGTCCTGGGGAGCGGGGCGTCTGGTGGGTGAGGAGCAAGCGGTCTGCCTGTTCTCTGTGGGGCCTGAGTCGAAAGTGGGACACCACGGGAAGTTCCTGTCACCCACAGCATCTTGACCTTTGGGGCTGGGGGCTGCGGAGGCTGTGGGTCCGGCTGTGCCCAGCCTCTCACCCTCCACGCCACTGTACCCCTGTGAGAAGCACTTTGAAGGCCCCCCCAGCTCAGGAGGCGAGCCCCCCAGCCATGCACAGACCCCTCGCCGTGTTATTGGCGGGGGCGTGTGGGGAGCCCCAGCAGCCTGGGTGGGTGGCTGGTGCTGGCGTCCACTCGGTGGGCGCGGTCAAGTGCTGCCTCCTGAGCTCGGCCCAGGCTCCTATGGGAGAGTTCCTGCCCTGGGGCCATTGAACCGCCTGAGTGGGGGTGTCAGTGCCACAGCGAGCACCACAGCTCTCCAGGCACAGGGGGCATGAGAGGGGCCCCAGGCAGAGTCCATACTGGGGAGGCCGGGAGAGACCAGGGCGTGGACAGCGGGCAGGACAATGGGAGCGGGCCTGTGGCTGGAGCAGTGTGGACGCCATGGCCCTACAAGATGGGGCCTCAGGAGGCTGGCCTGAGCGGCAGGGTGCCCCCATGAGGTCCGAGTGCCGTGGGTACCGTGTAGGAGGTGGCACCACACGGGAGGGGTATGGGGTGCTGGTGTGTTCCTTATTACTGCAATAGAGGACGTGCTGGAGTAGCAGCCTATGGCTCGGAAGGGGGCGTTTCCAGTGGGGACCCCTGCCCCCCGGCACCTGGACCAAGGAGGACAGGGACCCTGGCTCAAAGCTCACGTTTCCTCCATCAAAGTTACAGCCTGACGGGTGGCTCGTGGGCTCGGTGTGAGGGAGGCACGCCAGCTGTGCAGGGTCCCTGCTGGCTTGGGCTGGACAGCGGCCGGACAGAAGGACCCACCACTGAGCCCAGGGAGGGGAGGCCATGGGGCTTGAAGGCAGAGTTTGTGAGCTGCCTGGTGTGGACCCACTTCGTCCCAGTCTCGGTCAAGGCAGCCCCTCCTAACTTGACTTTCACCCTCCAGCGATTAGCAGAAGCCCCGCAGAACCCAGTTCTTTGCTAACTGGAAGCGTGTTGAGGGTAGAAGGGCACCGGTGCAGCCTCTGAGCACAGCCAGTGGGGGACAAAGGACCCGTCCCCTGGGCACTGGCCCCGCACCACACGTTGGGCATAGCTAGCAGAGTGTGTCTACATTTGTCTGCTGGATCAAACTTATTAACTTGCTGGGTGTTTCTATATTTATTCTTTGATCGGTTTGCCCTGGGGGTTTCTGAGAGGTGAGTGACAGCCTCCCGTTCTTTTTAGAGCAGTTTTAGGTTCACAGCAAACGTGAGTGGAAGGTACCCCCTGTACCCCCTGCTCCCCACGCACAGCGCCCCACTGTCAGCGTCCCCACCAGATGGTGCATTTGTTACAATAGATGGACCTACATTGTCACATCATCACCCACGGGTTGTCTGACATTGACGTTGCTGCATCAGCATTTATCGAGTTCGTGTTGGTTGGTAGGCGCCTGGCTTATCTGTTTCCTCATTTCTAACCATATTGTGTCTTTGTGTCTTGGTGCATCTCTGGTGAGTAGCAAATAGCAGCTGTATTATCTTCCTTTTTTCAAAGTCCACTCGGTGACTCAGTCTTCCGGTTGTAACTCATGGTGACCTGTGTCTCTTGCTAAGTTGTCCAATGGGCTGAGTGTTTGTGAGGAGTTTGCTTCCCTCCCTGGTTTCCTACAGTGTGGATAACTCTCAGCTCTCTGCTGTGGGGTGTGTTTAAAACATGTCCACAAATTCTGACACTCCTCCCACGAAAGCGGGAGTCTGGTTACCCCCCACCCCCTTTGATGTGGGCTGGCTTGGTGACTCACTTTTAATGACTCTGATGTGGCAGGCGTCCTGCTGTGTGGCTCCCGGCTGGACAGGGAGAAGGTGGCAGTTTCCACCTACACTTCTCATCCTCCCATGCCTGTCCCTCTCAGTCCTACGTCTGTCCCCCCAACATGCCCACTCTGCAGCCTGAGCTGCCGTGTTGGCGAGACCACGTAGACACAGAGGTAGGTGCGCGAGGCCCCAGCCCTGGTGGAGTGAGGAGCCTCAGAGGGCCCAAGCCCCTGAGTCTGAGTCTTCCACCCGAGACTGTGGGCATCATGCAGCAGAGAACAGCTGTGCTCACCGGTCCCTGTCAAAGTGACCCACAGGGCTCAGGAGTGTAATAGGCGCTTGTTTCATGTTTACATGACCCATCTCAAGTTAACGTTGTGTCGTGTGAGCTAGGCCCTCAGTTCACGTCTTCCTGGTTGTTTGCTGTCGTCCGGCGCTGTCTGCGGGACTCTGGCCTTCCCTGCTCCTGCCCGGTGCATGTGGGTTTGCTGGGCACTGGACTGCGCGAGAGGGATCACCCCCCGCCAGCCCGGCGCCTGCCGTGCAATAAACTTCCCACCATCGTGGGTTTTCTCTTGAGGTGATAACCCTGTAGGCACAGGGTGTGAGCCAGCCCGGCTGGGAGTGGGCCTCCCCTGGGAGGTGGCAGGAGTCCCAGAGGCCAGGAGGGTGGACTTGAACCTCTGGCATCAGGAGCAGGCCACGTCTGTGTTCCGGGAAGGAGACTGCAGCTGTGGCCCTCAGACCCCGCCTCCTGCCTTGCTCCACCTGGAATGTTGTGCTGAGCTGACCCCACGGTGGGTGGGGGTCAAGGCGGGTGCGCCGTGGGTGTGGGGTACAGTTGGGGACAGCTGTGTGTCATGTGGTGGGAGTGCCCAGGCACCCTGCCTTTCCTCCATCCTGAGTGTGCCCCCCCCACAGGTCATTCCCAAGAGGTGCCCATATCCACGGGGGGCGGGGGGGGGTGAGAGGGGGGCGCCCAGAGTGACAGAGCTAGAGGGCCAGCAAGAGACAGTGAGCAGGGGGGAACAACCCAGCCCCTGATGGGCCCCTCAGGAGGGGAGGGGTCTGATCAAGCTGCAGAGAGTGGCTGGGGGGGCCGGTGGCTCCTCCCCCAGATGGTTTGGGGACCTTCCTGAATCTTTACCTTGCCCTCTCAGTTCCACAATGCCCCGCCCCCCAGGTGGCCTCCCCTCAGGGCCTGGTCTGGGGGCTCCAGGGGGTTAGAGCATGGGTCGGGGTGCACGGGTGGAGGCAGGAACCCCAGGTGCACAGACGCTATGGGCTATGGGGTGGAGACAGGGAGAGAGCAGGGCCTGCTGTGTAGACCCTTCCTGAGACCTCAAGATCAGAGGCCCCTTCCTGGCCCCAAAACAGTGGTGATGTAGCCCCCATGACTTCCCCCATGGGGAAGGACCATTCCAAGTGGTCCTCATGGCTATGCCCCGCCCTCCAGGCTAAGCTGGGACCTCCCACCCTGGACTCAGTCACCGCCATGCTCCAGGCCAGGGTGTTGACCTTATGGCTGGGTGGGAGGGCCCCTGGGTGGGTCCCTGGGAGGGCCTGGTATTAAGGTTCTATTTAGGTGGGTGGTAAGCAGAGGCTGCAAGGACCAGTTGGGAGGACCAGGCCACATCACCATCACCGGAAAACTGAGTTCTGGCCCCTAGACTCAGGACCTTCACACCCTGCAGAGTTGCTGCTGAAGGTTTTGGGGGTTTTTCCACCCATTCTGGGTGATGGAGGGGGCTACCAAGGGGAGGGGCCGAGCATTAGCTACTGAGCATGTGCTGGGTGAGGAAGGCCTGGTCTCTGGGGGATGGAGGTGGTGGCTGGATGCTTTATTTACCTTTCATTTCATACACTTTCAAACACACAAAAGTTGCAAAAATAGTGCAAAGACCTGTGTCTGTCTTTTTCACCTAGATTCGCCAATCACTTACATTTGGTCCCCCCTGGTTTGTCATAAACTTTACTTCTGAACCACCCGAGGGTAGGGTGCCATCCACCCAACACGTAAGTGGACGCTGCCCAGGAGCATGGACTTGTCAGGTTCAGAAGCTGGGCATCTGCCAGGAACTCAGGAATGTTCCCAGCTGTGCCCGTGCCTCCCTTCACACTGTGTAATCACAAGTCCCTGAGAAGCTGTGACGCTTCGGGGCTCCTGGCCCCTCCTTGTCCTCCAGGCTGGCTGACTCCTCAGCCTTTCTCCGTCCGCACAACCTGGACATTTCGAGGAGCGGGCCTCATTGTCCAGGGTCTGTGGTGTTTCCCGGTGATGGGGTCGACGTTTTCTTTTTTGGCTGGAACCACAGGAGGGGACCGTGCCCTCGGTGCACCCGCCTGGGCTCAGGGTGGCAGCCTGTCCTGCCCGGTGACATAAGTCCTGACTACCTGGCCCAGGGGAGCTTGACCAGCTCTCCACCGCAAGGTCATGCTCTTCTTTTGTAATGAGTAGGCCTCCTGGGGAGATGCTCTGAGACCCCTGCCGAGCATTCCATCACCATTGTAACTGTGCCGATTGCACTCAGTCTGTTCCTGAGCAGTGTTGAAAGGACAGCTGTGCTCCTAACCCAGAGGGATGCGGACACAGGGAGCCAGGGACACACTTGATAGGAAATCAAAGGCACAAGAAGGTAGAGGGAAAAAGATGTCTCCTCGTCCCAGCCACAGTTACTTCTGGTTTCTGCAGCTGACTTTTTGCACTTTACATATTTTTGTAATTCTTTGTGTTTTTCTTTTTCTTTTCTTTTTTTTTTAACTCAAAGTACATTTTCTTTAACAAGTTGTCTTGAGAAAAACTTCATTGCAGAACATTGGTGATGCCTCCTTCCCAGTCATGGCTGGAGTCTCTGGCCTGGGGCAGGGATGCCAGTCAAAGGAGGTGGACGCCAGGCGCTGGCGCTGGGCTCAGGCCTGCTATCCTGGGAGGGGTGGCACAGGCTGCACGTGGCATACCAGCATCTGCAGACTCACTGGCGGAAGGGTCTGTGCCTGTTCCTCCGATGGGGCGCTGCCCCCCCCCCACCCCCCAATGCAGTGGCTGACTCTCCTGGCCTTTCCTGGTCCGAGAAGTGACAAATATCATGTCTGTAGCTTGCATTTCCCTCAGAGTGCAGCCTCACTAATTTAGAGCCTTAGCTGTGACAGGAAGTATAATTGGTGTGTGTGTGGCTTTGGACTGTTGTTTTTTTCTCCATATATAACTGTTATTTGTGTTGGGTGAACTTGTTAGTGGTGTGCTGCTGGGAGATGCTTAACACCTGGCTCTCTGAGAAGAAGAAACACGAGGATACGTAGCGTTTGTCGACGTAATGGTGTAAGCATTTCCATCAGGACAGATGTCAAACCGCCAGCCTCAAGTCTGGCCTGAGCAGCCCTGCTGCCAGGGCTGCCTCCTCCACCCCAAGATTGGCGATAAACAAACGCACGCCTCCCACCGCGGTTTCTGCTGGTACCTCGAGGGTTGATTGGTTCTGCTGTTAAATCTTTGACCCAGCTGCTGTTTGATCTGCTGTAAGGTGATGGGTAGAGAGCCCCCTGCCCATTTTTGTTTCAAGATGCTAACCAGTTGTTCTACATAATTTCTTGAATCAACCGTCTTTCCCCAGAGATCTGAAATGCATCTGTCATCAGGGATGAAATTCCTGTGTGCATTTCAGCCTATTTTTGGGACTCCCATCCTCCCATCTGGACCTGGTTCTGCTCCTGAACCACACTCTTCTGGTCCCTTTACTGTGTTTTAATGTGTGGTGGGACTGGTAGCTTCTGTTACTTTTTCTTTTCAAATTAATTGAGCTGCAATTACAGGTAACATTGTATAAGTATAAGGTGCCTACCGTGCGGCTTTGATACATTCCTAATTGATTGACACCACAGTGTTAGCCAGCACCTCTGTCTCACATACTTAACATTTTTTTTTTTTGTGGTGGGAACAGTTAAGATCTAGTCTTAGTAACTCTGACGTTTGTAACAGTGTAGGCAACTGGAAACACCAGCTGGGCGTTAGGACCCAGACTTTATCTCCCAGTGGCAAGTCTGTACCTTAAATACCATCTCGATCCCCACCTGTGTCTGGTTCTTTGTCCTCTCTATGTTGAAGAGTGTGGCTTTTTTAGATTCCATATGTAACCAATATCATACGGTGTTCAGCGTTTTCTATCCGGTTTATCTCACTTGGCATAATGCCCTCGAGGTCCATCCATGTTGTCACAAATGGCAGGATTTCCTGCTTTTTCATGGCTGAACAATGTTCGTGTGTGTCTGTCTGTCAGTGTGTGTGTAACATCTTCTTTATCCATTCATCTGTGGACAGACACTTAGGTAGTTCCCATGTCTTGGCTGTTGTGGAGAATGCTGCCATGAACATAGGGGCACACACCTCTTGGAGACCCGATTTCATTTCCTTTGGATAAACGCCCAGAAGGGGGACTGCTGGATTATATGGTTGTTCTATTTTTAATTTTCTGAGGAACTTTCACACTTTTCCACAGTGGCTGCACCAGTTTATGTTCCTACTAACACTGTACGAGGGCTGCTCTTCTCCACATCCTCGCCAACGCTTGTTATATTTGTCTTTTTGATGATGGCCGTTCTAACAGGTGAGAGGTGGTGTCTCACCGTGGTTTTCATTTGCATTTCCCTGATGGTGAGTGGCGTTGAGCATCTCTTCAAATGCCTATTGGCCATCTGTGTGTCCTCTTTGGAGAAATGTCTCTTCAGGTTTTTGCCCATTTTAAAAATCGGATTCTTTGGGTTTTGCTATTGAACTGTATGAGTTCTCTCTATATTTTGGATATTAATCCCTCATTAGATATATGATTTGAGAGGTTTTTTTCATTCTGTAGGTTTGTCTTTTCAACTTACTGTTTCTTTTGTTGTGCAGGAGCTCTTTAGTCTAATGCAGTCCCACTTGATTATTTTCATTTCTTCACCTGTGCTGTTAGTGTCACATGCAAGGACTCCTTGCCAAGACCGATGTCAAGGGGCTTCTCCCTGTTTTCCTCTGGGAGTTTTACAGTTTCAGGTCTTACATTGTCTTTGGTTCACTTTGAGTTAATTTTTGTGAGTGGTGTGAGATAGAGTCCAGTTTCATTCTTTTGCATATGGTTATGCAGTTTTCTCAACACCATTTATTGAAGAGACCGTCTTTTCTTTATTGTGTGTTCCTGGCACCTGTATCAAAAATTAATTGACCGTGTGTGTGTAGGTTTATGTCTGCACCCTCTAATCTGTCCCTCTGGCCTATGTGCCTATTTTTATGCCAATACCACACTGCTTTGATTACTGTGGCCTTGTAATATAGTTTGAAATCAGGAAGTGTGATGTCTCCAGCTTTATTCTTCTTTCTCAGGAGTGCTTTGGCTATTTGGCATCTTTTGTGGTTCAAAATAAATTATAGGATAGTTTCTCCTATGTGTATGAAGAACGCCTTCCTAAGACAAATTAAGGAAGAAGTGACATATTTAAGTAATGTTATGTCTCCTCCAAGAATGGAGCTTTCTGCTCCGTTTTCCGTGGTGTTCCATTGTGCCTCTCAGGGGCCATCCATTTTCCTGATGCTTCTTGTTAAGCTCGTCCCTGGGTCTTTCGTTGCTGCTGTATTTACGAAGTGTTTCCCTCTGTTATGTTCTGTAACTTGCTGTTTGTCTCGAGGCTCCTGGCATGATCATTAATGGTGTGCTCAGCCCACTCCCTGACTCACACAGGAAGATTCCATATTGTCCCCCCAGCAGGATGTTGACCATGGGCTGAGATAGATGCATTTATTGTTCCAGGGACCATCCTGGTGTACCAGTTATCTATCGCTGTATGAGGAATGCCCCCAAAACTTGTGACTTAATAATACACATTTATTATTTCACCCACTTATTATCTCCGAGTGGGGGGGTGGCCTGGCTGGCGGCTCAGGCTTGGGGTGTCTCATGAGGCAACAGTCAAGCTGGGGCTGCAACTGGCTGAAGGAGGTTCCACTTGGAGGTGACAGGCACACACCTGACGATCGGTGCTGGCTTGGGGCAGGAGGCCTTGCTTCCTCTTGACCTGGGCCTCTCCACTGGGCTGCTTGGGTGTCCCCAAAACCCAGTGCTGGCTTTTCACAGAGCAGCGACCCAGGAAAGCAAGGAGGCAGCGCAGTGTACCTTGGTGGACACTCGGTCATCACGTCATTTCCGCCATGTCTGTTGGTTACACACAGGTTGGTCCTTTTCAGTGTTCGAGGGGGACTGGACAAGGACATGAATCCAGCAGGTGGGGACCACTGGGGTCAGGTGTGTGACGGTGGGGGTTGGGTGTTTGTTGCCAGGGAGCCGCTCAGCCTTCACTAGTGACCAGCGTGCATCTGTTTTCTCAAGTGGGGCTGAGGGTGGCGTCTGCACAGCGGGGATCCAATGCAATTAAGCTGCAAAACACTCTGCTTGCTGGTCCCGCGTTCTAGAATTGGAGCTTTCCTCCCTCTTTCCAAGCCCTGGTGCAGCCCAAACATCCTCCTTGTGTTTTAAGGGCTGGATACATTACAGTCTCCCCAGGTAAGAAGAATCTCCTCAGGTAGGGCCCTCAGCAGGTAAGAGGGCAGGTCCCCTGGGACCCGGACTGGCTGGTGCATTTTAGGGGGTGGGCCTGTTCGGATGGGGGCCGCCCCCAGCTCCGAGCCCCTCCCTCTTCCCAGCACGCTGCTCCTCCTCCGGATCAGGCACCCTCCTGCAGAGCCCCCCCAGTTTGCAAAGAGCCGGCAGGTCGTGGGCGGGGCCGTGTGGGTCGCAGAGCCCCCCTGCTGGTCCGTCCCCGCTTCCCGCTTCCCGGAGCAAAGGAGCGCCGCGGCCGCCGCGCTCCACCACGCTGGTCACACCTTCTCGCCATGCTCTGCTTTCCGGGCAAATTGCCGAGGGTCGCGCGCGCCACCGTCCAGGAGCCGGGGCGCCGGGGCGCCGGTTCGAATCCCGCGGGCCCGGCGGTGCGGGCCGGGCGGGGACCGCTGTGTTCGGGGCGGCGCCGGGCGGGGGGCGGGGCGGGGGCAGTGAGGTAATTTCCGCGCTCGGGCGTCAGAGGTTTGAGTCACCCCCGGGGCAGAATCGAAAGTGATCGCGCGGCGGGCGCGGCCGAATGGGGGGTAAGTGCGGGGATGCAGGGTCTCCACTGTGGGTGGCAGCTGCCAGCGCCCCCTCCCTACAGTCGGGGCCTCGGTGGGACCCGGGCGGGCTCCCGGGAGCGGAGGGGGCGGAGGCGCCGGGCTGCAGGCGGTGCTAGTGGAGTGGGGGGCTGGTGTCCAGGGGACACCCCCCCCACACCAAGGCGCAGCGCTGGGCCAGCAGGCTGGGGTGCTGACTCAGCGCCGGGCTTCCCCCCAGGTAGCCCTGCAGCCTCATCACCAGGACCCTGGCTAGCCCCCGGGAGGGAGCAGTCTCTGGACCCCAAGTTCCTAACCCTTTAGCCTTGTCCTTGCCAGCTGCAGCTGCCCCTGCACCTGAACGCCCACGGCTTTGGGGATCTCTGCTCAGCCCCCTTCTGGAGGGAACTCAAGTTTTCACTTTGGAGCAATGAGGCTTTTCTGGGTTGACCTCAGATCATTTCCTTTTAAAACATCATCTTGGTGTCGCCCTCAAAGTTTCTCTTGAAAGTTTCCTTTGGAGGAAACTGGCAGTGTTACAGTAGCTGGTTCCCCTTTCGGGTCCCAGTTGACTGGGGAAGCCCCAGGGGCACCACCTGGGCAGGCCCCTGCCCCTGCAAGTTTCTGCGGCTGTGTCCTCCGGACCTCCCCCACGGCCCCGGTGGGCGGCAACTAGTCCCTCTCCAGATAGGCGCGGGGTGCAACGTCCCCAGGAGCCAACTGTCCCTTCACAGAGTGGGGGTGCTGAGGGAGCCCTGTGAGTCCTTGGGCCTCCAGGGCTCCTGTTGCTAGGGCAACCTCAGAGCCAGCTAGCTCCTTTTGAGAAGGGCCCGGAGACCTTGCAGAAGGGGAGGGGTCTGGGCTGGGTCAAGGTCAGCGGGGCTAGCCTCCTTGGATCTAATAACCCTCTGCGCCTGTCCTGCGGGCAGAAATCTGCTGCTCACCTTCCCGGGCCCCGTGCTGAGGAGAAGCCGTGTGTCTGAGCCCCCGCCGGGGGGTGGCAGCCCTCCTGGCCCCCGGCCCTGACCTTGCTCTCGGCTCTTCCCATCCCAGACTTCTCTTCAAGGGTGATCGGCCCCAGAGGACCCGCTGAGCCCCTGAGTCTCAAATGGCAACCCGCACAGTCAGGTCAGCATCGGAGAGGGTGTCCCCGGGGTCTGGCCCATCGCCCAGCAGCGCCACGGCCACCCAGGAGCCATCTCTGGACAGGCTGCGCGCCCAGCTGGACCTGTGTCTGGGCTGCTCTCGCTGTGCGCAGCGCCTCAACGAGAGCACCTACCTCCTGCATGCGGTGGAGCACAGCTGCCCCCGCGAGATCCTGCTGGCCCGCTTCAAGCGAGCCGCCAAGAGCAGGGTCTGGCGCAAGGTGGACCTCCGGCCGAGCTTCCCGCGGCCTGCCCGCTATCAGGTCTGCCGCTACTACCGCCCTGGGCAGGGCTGCCGCCGGCACCGCAACCAGTGCACCTTCGCCCGCAGCCCCGAGGAGGCACTGGTCTGGACCTTTGAGCGCGAGCACAGCCTCCACCGCCTGCGGCTGAAGGCCCTGGTGCAGGGTGGCAGGGCCCGGGGCGGGCTGCACGGCCTGGCTGATGTCATCCGTGCGGAGTTTGGTGGCCACTTTCAGCTGCTCTGTTCCCATTGCTTCCGGCACTGCCCCCCCCGCCTCTGCCCCGTGGACCCCCAGGGCCGGTGCCCCAAGCATGGAGCCTGCCCCTCGGTCCTGACCCATGTGAGGTCTGAGGGCCGTCGCAAGCAGCAGGTCACAGAGGTGCGGCCACGGCCCCAGCACTGCCAGAGGCTGGCCTATTGCATATTCGTGGGGCGCGGGTGGCCGTGCCGGCACGGGGCACCCCGCTGCCAGTATGCACACAGCGCTGTGGAGATGGCTGTGTGGGAGGCCGAGCAGCTGGGTGGATTCCAGCGCAGGGACCTGCTCACACGCCTGACCCCCAGGGGGGACAGGCCCCCAGCCCACCACCACCAGCCCTCTACAGTCCAGCTGTACTGCCATGCCTGCCTGGTCACCTGCCACTCCCAGGAGGCCTTTGAGAACCACTGCTCATCTCTGGAGCACGCACAGATGGTGGTCCTGGACCAGGCCGTGCCCTGGAAGCACCGAAGCCCTCCCGCTGGGCTCTCCACCTTCGAGCTCTGCCCCAGGTAAGGACAGTGGGGTGGGGTTTGGGGAGGAGGAGTGAACCCACCTTCAGCCACAACCGGGGATTCCCTGTTCTGTGTGACCAGCTGGCACCTCGAGGGCTTCTGGGGGAAGGGAGGCTAAGCTGGTCCCAGGCCACTCATGCCAGCCTTGTCCTATGTGGACAGGATGGAGGAGGCCCCGCCGGCACCCTGCCCCGGCCTGGAACCTATCCCTGCTCCCCACACAGACCTGTTTTGGGCTGAGGGGTCTCACCCCATGTGGCCTGCTGGCCTCCTCTGCCCCCAGGCCCGACCTCTGTGAGTACGGGGACGTCTGCACCAAGGCGCACTCAGAGCAGGAGCTGCAGGAGTGGACACAGCGTGTGCAGACCGTGGCGCTGCGGGAGCAGGCGGCCTGGCAGGAGGGGCTGGTGCCCTACAAGGCGCGGCTGCTGGACGAGTACCAGCGCAGCAGCACCGAAGTCCTGGTGGTAAGTGGGGCCTTGTGAGTGGGCTGGGCAGGCGGGGGCCGGGGCTCCCTGACGACAGCCTGGTTTCCCTGTGCAGCTGGCTGAGACTGTCGATGGTGTGTCCGTCAGCTGCAACCAGCCCCTGGTGCATCGGGCCCAGGAGAAGAACACTGAGCACAGCTGGATGTTTGTTGTCCACTCTGAGGTAAGGGGCAGTATAGCCGCGAGTCAGCTGGGGTCTGCAGCCACTGCCCTGCACAGCCTCGCCATGTGTGTGCACGTGTGCATGTGCATGTGTGTGTCATCTTCCCGGCCCCGTGGGGTTATCCTGCTGGGTCTGGCAGAGAGTGAGGGACTGTGCCCGAGCACCCCATGCTGCACACTCACCTCACTCAGCATCCGTGGGGCCTAGGCAGGCTCTGTGGCCCCATCTTGCAGAGGCAACCACTGAGGTTCAGGGAGGCTGAGTGGCCTGCTGGGGTCACAGCTGGGAATCGCAGCAGGGCAGGGCTCTGTGTCAGCCAGACCCTGATGGGTGGTGGGCTAGCGCCAGGATCACTCACCACCGAGTTTCTCCCCAGGAGCCCCTGCAACATGTGGCCCTGCTCAAGCAGGAACTGGGAGCAGACTTCTCACTGGTGGCCCCGCGCCTCCCTCCGGGCCAGCTGTACGCGCAGGGGGAGCGTTTCTGTGTGCCTGACCGCCCTACCGAGTTCCAGGTGGGAGTGTGTGTGCAGAGCACCTCCTTTGGCACCTTCGAGCAGTGGGTGGTCTTCGACTTTGGCCGCCGGCCGGTGCTACTGCAAAAGCTGGAGTTACAGCTGGGCCAGGTGCACTGCCCGGGGCTCTCGGGGTCGCCGGTGCCCGGCCACCATGAGGAGCTAGAGCGTTGGCACACTGGCAACCGCCATGTGGTACCTGGCGTGGAGCGCACAGCGGAGCAGGCAGCCCTGATGGCCAAGTACAAGGTGCCAGCCCTGGCCCTCGAGTTCCAGCGCAACGGCCCAGCCCCGGGTCCCCTCTCCCACACCAACTACCGGCAGAGGATGCACCAGTTTCTCTACGAAGAGGAGGCCACCCAACAAGAGCTGGTGGCTAAGTGAGTAGGGGCCGGTGGGCGGGCAGGGCTGTGGGGGCCGGCCGCAGAGTTCCGGCCCGGGTCAGCTGAGCCGTGTACCCCGCCCCGCCCCCCCCAGGCTGAACCTCCGGGGCCCCGTGTCCCTGAAGACGGCCCTGCAGACACCAGCCCTCGGCATGCTGTTCGCACCGCCGGGAGCCCTGTATGCCGAGGTCCCCATCCCCTCCTCCCTGACACCTGACACAGACCAGGGCTTCCTGCTGGGCCGGGCGGTCAGCACGGCCCTTGTGGCCCCTGTGCCTGCCCCTGACAACACGGTGTTCGAGGCGCGGCTGGAGCCCCGGGCCAGCTCAGAGCAGGCCCGGTGGTTGCTGCTGCCGGAGCGCTGCTGTGCGGCCCTGGGGCTGCGGCCCGAGGCCAGCCCCCTGCTGGAGGTGCAGTTCCAGATCGACCCGCTGACCTTCCGCCTCTGGCACCAGGCAGTGGACGCGCTGCCGGACGAGCGGCTGGTGGTGCCCGACCTGCCCGCCTGTGCCCTGCCCCGCCCCCGGCCCAGCCCGTCCGCGCTGCAGGGCAACCGCAAGCAGAAGCTGGCCGTGGAGTTCATCGCGGGCAGCGGCCCTAAGGGCACGCAGCCCATCGCCCCGCTGCTCATCTACGGCCCCTTCGGGACGGGCAAGACCTACACACTCGCCATGGCCTCCCTGGAGGTCATCCGACAGCCTCACACCAAGGTGCTCATCTGCACACACACCAACAGGTGAGCCCAGAGCCGCTGCTCCCTGGGCCAGGCTGAGCTGCCGTGGTGGTGTCACCCCAACAGAGGAAGGGGTACCTGGGGCCTGGGGCTCTGGCTGGTGCCTAGGTTCCCTGCAGGCCCGGAAGGCTAGCTCTAGAGCAGACGTCCCAGGGCTGCCTGGCTGGGGGTGGAGTGGAGCCCCAGCTGGGCACACTGGGCGCATAGTGGGTCCCTGGGCGAGTCCCAGTCACTCTGATCAGGGCTGCTCCCTGACAGCCGGTCAGTCTGGGCTGAGAGGGCCAGGGGATGTCTGTGCTTAGGCCCAGTGCAGAGTGCATGTGGGCGGGGGCTGTGGGCGCCTCCGCCGGGCCCTCGGTGAGGTGGAGTGGGGGGTGGCTCACCAGCACTTCCTGGGCCAGGACTTACCCTTGTTCTTAAGAGAACACAGATCTATGCTCCGTGGGTGGAGGCGGGGGGGCGGGTGTCGGTCGCGGGTCTTTAGCCTCCTTTGTCTCGGCATCGGGCAGGGCTGGGCAGTAGGCGCTTTTGCGCGCAGCTGCCAAGGCCCCATGTGCCCTCTCCCCCTCAGCGCGGCTGACATCTACATTCAGGAGCACTTCCACAGTTACGTGAGCAGCGGCCACGCTGAGGCCAGGCCTCTCCGGGTGATGTACACAGACCGTCCGCCGAGCCAGACGGACACAGCCACGCTGCAGTACTGCTGCCTGACTGAGGACCTCCGGGCCTTCCGCCCACCCACGCATGCGGAGCTGGAGCGGCACCGCATTGTGGTGACCACCACGTCGCAGGCCCGCGAGCTCGGGGTGCCCGCTGGCTTCTTCTCTCACATTCTCATCGACGAGGCCGCCCAGATGCTGGAGTGCGAGGCCCTGATCCCGCTGCGCTACGCCCTGCCAGGCACCCGGGTGGTGCTGGCCGGTGACCACATGCAGGTCACGCCCAGGCTGTTCAGCGTGGACCGGGGACGCGCCGCCAGGCACACGCTGCTGCACCGCCTGTTCCAGCACTACCAGCAGCAGGCGCACCAGGTGGCCCAGCGCAGCCGTATCATCTTCCACGAGAACTACCGCTCCACCGAGGCCATTGTCACCTTTGTGTCACGCCACTTCTACGTGGCCAAGGGCACCCCCATCCACGCCAGCGGCAAGGTCCCACGCCACCCCCGGCGCTACCCGCTCATGTTCTGCCACGTGGCCGGGAGCCCAGAGCGTGACATGTCAATGACGTCGTGGCTCAACACGGCTGAGGTCATCCAGGTCATCGAGCAGGTGCAGGAAGTCTACGACACCTGGCCCCACTGCTGGGGCGGCCGGGACAAGAGGCACATCTGCGTTGTGTCCCATGGCGCCCAGGTAAGCCCACCGTCCAGACAGCTCCTCCTTAGCCCCCGGTGGTCTGGGGGACTGTGCCCCCGGCTGGGCCTCCTCGCCTCGGTTTCCCCTCCTGTAAGAGGGTCCCAGGGCGGATGTGCACATGAACTATGTGCTGGCACCAAGGCTGGCTGTCATCGGGGCCCTCACCGCACACCAAGCCCTCACGGGCCCCATCTGGTCCTGTGTCTCCAGGTGAGCGCGCTGAGGCAGGAGCTGAGGAGGCGGGACCTGGGCCAGGTGTCCGTGGGTAGCTTTGAGATCCTGCCAGGTGGGTGATTGGTGGTGGGGCAGGGCGGGGGTGGCCCTGGGCACAAGCGCAGCCTGACCCCGCCCCCCTCGCAGGGCGGGAGTTCCGTGTGGTGGTACTCAGCACGGTGCACAGCCAGCACAGCCTGCGGAGCCCAGGGGCGCCCGGCCTGGAATTCTTCACAGACGCCCGCGTGCTCAACACCATCATGACCCGCGCTCAGTCCCAGGTGGTGGCCGTGGGTGACGCCATGTCCCTCTGCTCCTTCGGGGCCTGCAGCAAACTCTGGAAGAGCTTCATTCGTGATTGTGTGGAGCATTGCAGTGTCTGCCCCGAGGGCCTGTTGCTGGAACAGATCGAGCAGGGGGTGATCCAGAGGCAGCGCTGGGCCCGCTGCCTGCAGCCTGCGGCCCCACCGGCAGAGCAATCCGTGGCAGTGGTGGCCGGGGACACTGGCCCAGAGGAGGGGACAGCAGGGGGCCCAGCCACAGGGCATGCGGCTGCGGTGAACGTGGAGCCGGGGGCCGTGTCCGAGGCCGATGGGGGTGCACTCCTGCCCAGGGCCTCGGAGGCAGGAGACGCGGCCACACAGGAGGCAGAGGCTGTGAGGTGCCCAGCAGCCGGGGACGCAGCATCAGCAGGGAACTCAACAGCCACAGAGAGTGAGGACCCCGGGGACCCCGAGGACTCTGAGTCTGACTTCTGGCCCTCCGACTGGGAGCTGAACACCGATGACCCCATCCTGCAGGAGCTCTTGGACGAGAGCCAGAATGTGACGGTGACTGTCCGGGAGGACGGGCTGCTGGACACCGTCGCCAGGCCCGCATCCCCACAGCGGGCCCGGCAGTACGTGTCCCTGCCGCGGGCCACGATGCGCCACCTGCTGCGCACGGAGCCCGAGAGGCACTACCGCTGTACCTTTGTACAGGAGACCTTCGAGCGGGCTACGGCTGTCCCGCTGGACAACTTGGGCCCTGGCCCCATCCAGGTCAGGGGCCGCTTGCACTGCGGGATGGCCTTCACTGGGGACGAGGTGCTGGTCAAGGTCCTGGGTGGCGAAAGGGGTTCTGCCGGGCGGCCGCAAGGCCGCGTGCTGGGCGTGCTAAAGCGGAGGCGCCAAGAGCTGGCATTTGTGTGCCGCATGGATGAGTGGGACCCTCGTATCATGACCCCTATCGATGGCTCCGTGACCAAGATCTTTGTGGCTGAGCTGAAGGACCCGCAGCTGGTGCCCGTGCACTGTCTCTGGAGGGGCCGCCTGCAGCGGGTGACACATGAGCGGCTCCCCGCCCAGGCCTGGCGCCGCCGGTTGTTCTGGGTGCGTGTTGTCCTGTGGCGGGAACGCTTCTACTACCCGCTGGGCATCGTGCTGGAGGTGCTGCCTGAGGCCACCACCTGGGAGCAGGGCCTGCGCATCCTGAACCTGGAGTACGAACTGCGGGAACTCTCGCCTGACCCGGCCACGGTCTCCAAGGTGCTGCAGAAGTACCGCACTGAGCTCAGCCGAGCGCCCAGCTGCCGGGAGGACTGCCGTGGCTTCCTGACCTTCACCGTGGACCCCCAGGGCGCCTGCAACCTGGACGACGCCCTTGGCGTCCGGGACCTGGGCCTCAGGTACGAGGTGGCCGTGCACATTGCCGATGTGGCCAGCCTCGTGCCCAGGGATGGGCCGCTGGACGTGGAGGCCCGCAGGCTGGGCACCGCGTTCTATGCCCCCAACCAGGAGCCAACGCCCATGCTGCCGGCCGGCCTTTGCCAGGACGTGCTCAGCCTCCTGCCCGGCCAGGACCGCCTGGCCATCTCCCTCTTCCTCACCTTCGAGAAGGGCAGTAACCAGCTCAAGAGCCTGCGCTTTGCGCCCTCCATCATCCACTCCAACCGCCAGCTGTCCTACGAGGAGGCTGAGCAGGCAATCAGGGAGCATCCGGGGGCCGGCCTAGAGCTGCCAGACCGCCTGGACTCCGTGGACGCCTGTGTGGTGGCCGCATGCTACTTCGCCCACGTGCTGCGCCAGCGTCGCCTGCAGGCTGCCTGCTACTACGAGCAGCCAGATGAGGACAGCAAGCTGGGCTTCCGTGCGGCCCACGCCATGGTCAAAGAGTACATGATTCAGTTCAACAGACTAGTGGCTGAGTTCCTGGTGGGCAGGGAGCACACTCAGACGGTCACGCCGCTGCGGTGGCAGCCTATGCCCAGCAGCCGCCAGCTCGAAGCTGTGAGCGAGAAGCACGGGCAGCTGGTGCCGCTGTCACTACACCTGCGCCAGCACCTGCAAGGCCACAGCCCCCCCGCTCCACAGCTGCACCTGCTGGCCACGCTCTGGAAGCACGTCCAGCTTGCAGCCCACGCGCAGGATACCGGCCGGCTGGTGGACCTCATCACCACGGACGACATGCACCCTTCACTGGCTCCTGTGGGCCTAGACTTCCGCAAAGCCCTGGGCCGCTCCGCCTTCAGCCGCTCTAGCCAGGGTGAGCAGCAGCCGGCCAGGCACTACTCGCTACAGGTGGACTGGTACACCTGGGCCACCTCGCCCCTCCGCAGGTACCTGGACCTAGTGCTGCAGCGGCAGATCCTGCTGGCGCTGGGCCAGGGGGGTCCCACCTATTCTGCCAGGGACATCGACGGGCTGTGCCAGGACTTTAACCGCCAGAACTCACGTGCCCAGAGCTACCAGCGCCAGGCCCGCAGCCTGCACCTGGCCACGCGGCTCAAAGCCCAGCCGCATGACAAGCTGGGCTTTGCAGTGGACGTGGAGGAGGGCGCCCGCTGCTTCAGGCTGTTCTTCCCAGCCAACCGTGAGACGCTGCCCGACCCCTGCCCTGTGCACTACCGCTTCCTACAGCTGGCCGAGCACCCACACGGCCTGGTGAACCGGCCCGGCCTGCGGCTGGTGTGGCGCCGCCGCATCTATTCAGTGCGGCCGAATGGGCCGTGCCCCCCACTGTGCGGAGCCCTGCTCGACTCGCACACGCGGCCCGTGGATGCTGCCCTGTGGCAGCAGCTACTGGAGCTGGTGGAGGAACAGCGGTGGCCGGAGGCAGCTGCCCTCGTGCGGGGGTGGGGCACCGCAGAGCCACCGAGGCGGGAGGTGGGGCGGGTGGTGCGCAGCGGCTGTGGCCACTTTGTGGAGGTGACCCGGGAGCTGGGCCGTGGGGACGTGCTGCAGGTGCAGCTCAGTGCCACCCTGCAGCGGGGCATGCTGGCACCAGCCCTGCAGCTGTGGACTGTGGTGCCTGGCGTCAGCCTCTGCCTGGAGCACACGGAACGGCCCGGGGACTGCTTCTCAGGCCACGTGCCCCAGGCGGGGCAGGAACGCTGGTGCAGCGTGAACGACTACTCCCGCGTGTGGGAGCCGTTCTGCTCCCTGGAGGCGTCCACCAACTCGGTGGCCGAGAACGACGCCATCACGCTGCAGCACGTGACCGTGACCTGGGACGCAGAGGACATGGCCCAGGGGCAGCTTCAGGGCACCTTCCGCCTGGAGGCCGCCTTCCTCAGCGAGCACTGCATTGACATCAGCTGGGGACACTGTTACCTCTGCATCCGGCTCGAGGGGCTGCGGGCCGTGCCCGACACAGGGGAACCATGCCCCCCAGCCACCACACCCCGTGGGCCCAGCAGCCTTGGCCCTGTCCTGAGTATCGACCCTGACACGTACACCTGGGTGGCCCATGGGCTGACGGAGGATGGGGACTCGAGTCCAAAGGATGGCCGGCAAGAGGCCTCCAAGCAGGTGCATTTCTTCATTCACCACATGGCCATGGAGAAGGTTCCGGAAGAGGTGCTGAGGCCTGGCGCCCAGTTCACCATTGAGGTGCTGCCCAAGCAGCTTCCAGACCTGTGAGTGGCGACTACCATGGGGTGGGCAGGGAGTGTGAGGACTCCAGGGTTCCTCTTCTGGGAGGGGGTGGCTCATGGGGCAGCGGCCCCTCCCCGGGAGGGTTCTGTGGATGTTTCAGTGTCCATCTTCACCCCCACCCACCCCCAGCCGCAAGGAGGAAGCCGTGCGTAAGCTGAAGAGCTCATCCCAGCTGGTCATCAGCATCGCCCTGGGCCGCCCCATCCCCCTGCCCCGCCACCCTTCCCGCCACCCTTCCCGCCACCCTCCTGGCCGCCCGCCTGGCCAGCATTCCCTCCACAGAGGTAGGTGGGGCCCTCCAGCTGCCCGCCCCCTGCCTTCTGCCTGGCCCCGCCCTGCACCAGAGCTCAGTGAGGCCTGGCCCCTTCCTCAGGGACCGCCCACAGGCTCCTGGAGCGAGAGACCTTTGACATCCCCGGAGGCCGCCACAAGCTGAACCCCAGCCAGACCGGGGCCGTCAGAGAGGCTCTGAAGAAACAGTTCACCGTCATCCAGGGCCCGCCAGGTGGGGCCCGTGTCGGGGGCGGCGGGTGCCTCGGCAGCGCCGCGTGGGGCTCTGCTCACCCCATTCTCTGCCCACAGGCACGGGGAAGACGGTGGTGGGCTTCCACATAGTATTCTGGTTTCACAAGCTGAACGAGGAATGGGTGCCAGCCCGCGCCCCCTCCGATAAGGACAAGGTGCTGGGAAGACCCTGCATCTTGTACTGCGGCCCCTCTAACAAGTCGGTGGACGTCCTGGCAGGTGCACTGGGTCAGCCCCGGGGGGCTCTGCCTGGGGGTGCTGGGCCCACACACAGTCTCATGCTCCGACTGCCCCCAGGACTGCTCCTGAGCAGGAAAGCAGAGCTGAAGCCCCTCCGAGTGTACAGCGAGCAGGCTGAGGCCACCGAGTTCCCCATGCCAGGCGTGGGCAGCAGGGGCCTGTTCAAGAAGACCCCTGGGGAGGGGAGGCCCAACCAGAACCTCAGGTGTGTCCTCTCAGCTGTCCGTTCATCTGTCTGTCTGTCTGTATTTGGGAGGAGGTGAGAGGTCTGAGTCTTGGGCGGGGGGCCACACGGCTTCACGGAGGTCCGTCCCCCCCACCAGGAGTATCAGCCTGCACCACCGGATCCGGCAGAACACCAATCCCTACGCATCAGAAATCAAGGCTTTTGACGTCCGGCTGCAGAAAGGGGAGGTCTTCTCCAAGGAAGACCTCAGCTGGTGAGTGGCTGGGGCTGCGGAGCCGAGTCCTGGTATGGGGGTTCCTGGGTGACCAGATGGTGTCCCCCGCAGGTATAAGAAGGTCTTGGGAAAGGCCCGGACGTTTGAGCTGGAGCGGCACAGCGTCATCCTGTGCACGTGCTCATGTGCAGCCTCGGCCAGCCTCAAGAACCTGGATGTCCGGCAGATCCTTGTGGACGAGGCGGGCATGGCCACGGAGCCCGAGACCCTCATCCCGTTGGTGAACTTCTCTCAGGCTGAGAAGGTCGCTGGGTGTGGCCTCGCCCCCGGGGTGCAGGGAGCGCAAGGCGGGTAGCGGCGTGGTAGGGGGTGACGGCTGTGGACCTGCAGGTGTGAGGACCATGCCTGTCTGTCCCTCCAGGTGGTTCTTCTCGGGGACCACAAACAGCTGCGGCCAGTGGTCAAGAATGAACACCTGCAAAGCCTGGGGCTGGATCGGTCCCTGTTTGAGAGGTACCACAGGGACGCCTATATGCTGGACACGCAGTACCGCATGGTGAGCCTACCCTAGCCCAGCCTCCGCGCCTGGGGCCGGGGACGCCAGAGGTGTGCTGGCCACTCCCCAACCTCCTCCGTCCACCCTGGCCTCCTGGGGCCACAGCAGGAACAGGCGGGAGCGCTTGGCCGCGGGTGGCAGCTGGGCGGCCTGACCTGGCTTACGTCCTTCCTTGCAGCACGAGGGCATCTGTGTCTTCCCTTCCATGGAGTTCTACCAGAGCAAGCTGAAGACCTGGCAGGGCCTGAGGCGGCCGCCCAGCATCCTAGGCCATGCCCAGAAGGAGAGCTGCTGTGTCATTTTTGGTCACGTGCAGGGCCATGAGCAGAGCCTCCTGGTGTCCACGGATGAAGGGAATGAGAACTCCAAGGCCAATCAGGAGGAGGTGAAAGAGGTGGTGAGTGTCAGGGGGACCCTCCCTGGTACCCCTTGGTCAGGGAGGGCATCCTGGAGGAAGTGGCAGAGGAGCTGAAGGAACAGGTGAGGCCCTGGCACCCAGGGTGGGAGCGGCACCAGAGCCAGCTTTGCCATCACCCTCTTGGCTCCTCAGGTCCGCATCGCCAGACAGCTGACCCTGGACAGGACAGTGGACCCCAAGGACATTGCCATCCTCACGCCCTACAATGCACAGGCCGCAGAGATCAGCAGGAAACTTGCACAGGCGGGTGTCACCGGAGTGACGGTGTGCTCCATCACCAAGAGCCAGGGTGAGGCTGGCTCCGGGGCGGGGCTCTTGGGCAGCGGGTCAGGAGGGTGGGTGCAGGTGGCAGGGCAAGCGGCACCTTCCAGGGGCCTCACCGTGCCTGGCCCCCCAGGGAGCGAGTGGCGCTACGTGCTGTTGAGCACCGTCCGCTCATGCCCGGAGAGCGACTTGGACCAGCGGCCGACTAAGAGTTGGCTGAAGAGGTTCCTGGGCTTCGTGGTGGACCCCAACCAAGTGAACGTGGCCATCACCCGGGCCCAGGAAGGGCTCTGCCTCATAGGTGAGAGCTGCTTCCTGGGGGTGGGGCTGCTGGCGGGCGTGCCAGGGCCGCCACTGAGTCCTCTCTCACAGGGGACCACCTGCTCCTGCGCTGCTGCCCGCTGTGGCGCCGGCTCGTGGACTTCTGTGATGCCCAGGGCAGTCTCGTGCCTGCTGACCAGGTGCGGGTCCAGAGGAGGCCAGCTGTGTTGCTGTGAAGAGCTCCTCACCTGTCCACTGCCCTCAAGCTGCCCAGACAGCAAGGACAAGTCCCACACTGCCCTGCGCTGGCTGCCTCGCAGGCCCCGCTCAGCGGAATCCCATGTGCCTTCTGTGGTCACTGCCAGCCACCACCCGGCCACCACCCGGCACTCTTGCCTGCCTGACTGGGTGAGGGCTGTGGCAGCCGGCCGTGGTGCTGGACAGTAACCAGCTCCTGGAGTCGGCTCATCCCTGGCAGGGTGCAGGCCAGGCCCCACCCCAGCGGGATGCACATGAACTTAGGAGGGAAGGGGCGGGCCAGGGGATGCCCACCCTCCCCACTGACCTGCTTTTGCCACCACATTGGTGACAGAGCATGTCGCAGTGGGGGTGGAGGCCTGGGGACCAACAGGACACCATCTGGTGTCGCTGGGAAGGTGTGGGTTCAGGAAGGAGACCCTGTTGGGGCTGCACTTTGTTCTTCGGGTGCCATCCCGACCACCGTGGTGCCAGCCATGGTGTTCAGCTTTCTTTTCTATTTTTAAATAAACCAAAAGCCAGCGTCTTTTTTACTGCAACAGGGTTCTCAGCCTAGACTCAGGGCAGAGGCTTTCCTGGAAGTGAGGCCCTTTTCTCTGCCACCACTGCCCTGTCCCCCAGCCTGGCAGGCAGGGAGAAGGCTGACCAGAACCCGGTGGGGACCTGCCCATCCCGGCCGTGCAGTGTGTGCAATCCTCCCATGGGAATGTGGTTGGCGGTGGGACCACGGCACCCCCAGGACAGGCTGTCATGTGCTTCTGACCTGGGGTCCGCACCCCAGAGGCCTGCAGGGCTGGGGACCTTCACCTGCCCCTCAGGGTGCATCTGTGTCCTGCTTCCACACCTGCCCCAGCCCACCCAGAGGCATCTCTGACCCTGGGTTTCAGTGCAATCCCACTGTCCCCGTGGGCTGGGGGACACTGCAAACAAGTGTTTACACCAGGAAGGGCTTGCCCCAACCTGTGGCCTGGCTACAGTCCCTGGGGAACACTCTGTGTTGTCTGATTCTGATGCTTTCTACAAATTTCTACATTCCAGTTTTTTACCTCCTCTTGGACTCTTATATGATTAAACATTAATTTTATTATAAAGACCTGACGCTTTCTCGCCTCTGCGTGTTTCTGGGGTCTGACGGGGGCACAAAGGTGGCCTCTGCTCTTGCTCTGCGTTGTGAAGTGGCTGTTGAGGTTGTCAAGCCCGTTGTAGCAGATGCTGGATGGGGACATGCCGAGGGGAACCGGGACTCCACTCTACATCTGAGGACACAGCCGGCAGGCTGACGGTCCACTGCCAGGACAAAGAAAGCTGGGTGGGAGGCTGGCTTGGTGACAGTGGCCACAGCCGGTGAGCTGTGTCCAGGTGCTGCAGGACACAGAGTCCAGCCCACTGAACTCTGACCCTAGGAGGCTGGCCCAAAAGTCTAAGTCCAAAGTCCCCAGACTATCAGCAGGTCCATGCCATCTGGGTCTGAAATTATTCCCCAGGTCCCTTTGGGACAGTGCACCCCGCCTGCAGGCCCACCTGGGCTATGCAGCATTCGCTGGTTTGTGGCTGAGCCCCCAATGCCTCTGAGGTCCCTGGCTAGACAGAGGAAGGCATGGCTGGGCCCCTCTCGTAGTGGCAGCAGGGGTATCAGATGGGTCAGGAGGACAGAAAGAGGCTTCATAGGGAAAGGGGTCCCCAGGGCCTTGTGTCCTGTGCGTTCACTATTGCCTGGAGTGAGCCGTATGGCCCTACCTGGGAGAGCAGGTGCACCTAGGGCAGCTGTAGAAGCATTCAGAACCTTGACCGTATCTCGTGAAAAGGCTTGAATAAAGGAGAAGCAGGTGTCTGAGGCAGAGTTGGGACCACATCCGCCTGGAGTCAGGGAGGGCTTCCTGGAGGGAGGGGTGTTGCAGTCCAGAGGGCACGTGGGGTGGCAAGGAACTGGGCTGGACTGGAGGAGGGCAGCTGAGCACAGAAGTGGGTCGCTGAAGCAGCAGGTGAGTCTCAGGACAAAACGAGGCAGGTGAGCTGGGGGGGTGTGGGGGGGTGGATGCGCGCAGCCAGCTGCCCGACCTCAGGCCAGATCAGGAAGGGTGCCTCAGAGCTGCTCATAGAAGGGGACCTGCGGTGGCCCCACTGCGGCCTCTGGGCAGCTGTCCTTGGTAAAGGTGGGAGGCTGGACCGAGGACGGGTGGCACCAGAACCAGGAAGGCCCTGCTGGTGTGCCCGGATGCACCTCCTTGGCGAACTCCCACTCCAGCCTGCCCTCTGCGTTGGACCCATATGACCCAGCACAAGCCCCAATCCCTGACCCCTGGCCCCGCTCCAGAGGTCAGCTGTCCTGGAAGGTCCAGCTCGGGCCCCTCCTAGAAAAGGGAGCAGGGGCTGACGGGGCTCCACTAAGTCAGAAAGCAGTCATGCGGCTGCTGCCACCTTTAAAACATAAGTAGGTTTGTTTCTATAATTGTGTTTATAATGCTCTTTATTAATGGATAAATATTAGAAAATCATCTCTGGGAAGCTGTGGTCAGGGGTGGCCTGGCTTGCCCAGCAGACTGGGGGCCGGCCCTTTGGGGGGCCCTGGCCTTGTGTGCAGGGTGAGGCTGTCCTGCCAGGGCTCGTACACCAGCGTATAGCTCTCAGCTCTTTTGACTGTGAACTTGTAGACGCGGTCGGGCAACAGGTTGTGGACATCAAAGGAGCAGGCGGCCACAGGGACGATGCCACGCTGCAGGCACTCCTGCTGTGTGCGTGGGTCTAACAGCTTGAATCGCAGCTCAAACTGCTCCGGGGCCGCTGGCTGGATGGTGACAAACCAGCGCAGGGTGGCCCAATCCTGGTGGGCCACCGATTCCTTGCGGTCAAACATGACGGGCATCTTGGTGCTGAGCAGGAGCCGGATGTGGGGGACCTTGGTGGCGCCGATGTCAGATACCAGGCGGTGCTTGATATGCAGGCGCCCGGGCACCATCATGGCCAGGAAGCTGTCCATGACGGCCGACAGGCCCACCAGCTGCTGCTCCACGAGCGCCCAGCCCGCCAGGAAGGGCCGCGGGTTGGGCGACTCGAGCAGGGCGTCCAGTGTGGCACGGCCGCGGTCCAGCTGCTCCAGCAGGTCGCCGAGCAGCAGCAGCTGAATCCTGGCCTGGGCGGCACCCACTTTCTTCATGCGCTGGAACTTGCAGGGGTCGACCAGCTGGAACACGGTGTGGGGCAGCAGCGGCGGGTTCTGGTCGCCCAGGGCCAGATGCTTCGGGAGGATCTCGACATGGTAGGAGCACCTCCGGAGCAGCTCCACGCGGGCGTGGTGGCGCCTGAGCAGCTGGGGGCTCAGCTCGGAGGTCAGGAATTCACGCAGAGCAGTGCGGCGCTCCACGTAGGTCCTCCAGGCCTGCGGCTCCAGCAGCTGCCCGTCCTCGGCTTCCTCGGCCTCCTCCTGGTCCAGGAAGCACTGGGGCCTGTCTGGCTTCCTCTTGTCCAGGTCCAGGCCTGTTACCTGGAAATCCATCGTCTGGGAGAGTGGGGTGGAGGGCGGGGCGTCAGCTGGGACAGTCGGGCTGGCTTCTGCTGCCCCCTGGCAGTGTTTGCGTGTATGGGGGGTGACTTCAGGCCCCTTGTCCCCTACACCAGATCCTGTGTCCCTCTCAGGAGGAGGAGCTTATGGGGACATTTCTCTCTGGAACAGGCTGCCTGCAGGGCCGACTGGGCGGTCTGCAAGTCTGGGTAAAAGTAGGCATGGAGGGGCAAACACTGCTGGCGGCTGGTTGTGAGGGTGCAGGGCAGGGCCGAGGCCCCGGGTGCTGGGGCCACAATGACTTGGGCACAAAAGCCAGCTGCTGGGCAGTTGTGTGGCCTGGCAAAGGCCTCAGTGCCTCATCTGAAATGGGGTAACGATGCTGCTCAGGCTCCGGAGAGCAGTGCAATTCTGTCTGGGCAGCACCAGACCCCGCCCCAAAACCCCCGGGGACACTGCTACCCTGCAGACCCTCCATGCCTCACTGCAGGTGCAGAGCAGAGCCAGAGCCAAAGGCAGTCCAGTTGGTGACCAGAACCAGCATGGGCAGCAGGCCGGCCAGGCCTCAGCTCTCCGGAATAACCACGATGCCTAGCCGCTTAGCCCCTGGGGCCTCACGTGCCCTCAGGAGCTCACTGTCTCCATAGGAAAGGCCCGTAGTGAGACCCTGTCGCTCCATCTCACAGATGGGGTGCCTGAGGCCAAAATGCTTCCAGTTTGTCCTCAGTCCGGGAGTTGAGCTCTGCCACTGACCCCAGAGCCTGACCCACCTTCTGGGCCGTGCCTCCCTGCCCTCCAGGTTCCAGCTCTGGGTGTCAGTGGGAAGGGCCAGTGCACCTCACAGCTGGATGCAGCTGTGGTCCCAGGCCCAGCTGGGGCAAGCTGCCAGTCCACTAGGGCTTGGCCCTGCAAGCTGGGGCTCCTTGAACAAGGAGCCAGCATCCCTGGCTGCTGTCCCAGGTCCCAGCCACCCCCAGGGACCCGCAGCTTCACTTGGCAGAGCGCAGGTTGTCCCAGCAACCCAAGGCTTGGATGAATTACAGAGACAGCCAGTAGGTCAGGTGACATGCCCACGAAAGCACCTCCAAGTGGCAGAGTAAAGTCCGGCGGTCTGCCTCCCTCCCTAAAGGCCAGCCCTTGACCTTCCTGGGGAAGTGGAGCCAAACCAGGCCCTGGGCACAGCAGAGAGGGTATGTGGGGTGAGGAGCGGGGCGACGCCAGGGCCCCAGGACTCATGGCCTAAGTCCTGCTCTGGCCTCAGGAGGGAACACTCGCTCCTGGACCTGGCTGGTACCGTCAGGATGTTTCCAGTCGCTAACAGTCTCCCAGGTGTAAAACCGCAAGACGGGTGGTTGGTGTGACCGCCCGGAGCCCCGGCTCGCCTCCCCAGGGGCCCCGCCTTCCCGACGCCGCTGCACACCCCTCTCCCCGGGGCCCACCTCCCCGAGGCCGACTCCCCTCCCCGCCCGCCTCCCCACCTGCCCGCGCCCCACCTCCCGGCACGCCCACTTGCTCTGCCTCCGGAGCGGGCGGAGCCTGCGGCCGACTGTGCGCGGAGCCCCCGCCCCCAGCTCCGCGCCGCGGCGGCCGGCGAATTGCCATAGGGACCGCCGGCCTCTGTGACGCCGCGCCGGGTGGGGGACGGGACGGGACGGG